TAAGCCTCGAAGCTTGATGTCTTTTTTTATTGAAATGTCTTTGGGTAGAATTTCAACTTTAGAATTGTAGTTTCGCTCCTATACAAGGTAAGCACAATACCGACTTTTTCTCCTATAAAAACCACTGCACATTCTTTCAGTAATCAAAGTTTTTTCTACTTACCATAGAGCAATGGGTGAGAGATAAAATACCCACCAATCACTCATAACAGTTACCTCAGTACTCATAAATCTTTTCACTCGCTGTCGTAAAGTTGCACGTTCACCCCTGCCATCACAACATTTTTCTATCCGGGATACTTACGATTGATTGCTAGCAATAAAAAGAAACTTTAACTGCATGCAGACGCCTTCAAGCAACGCAAGTACATCCACATACATTTCCCTAATGTGTTGTATAATCTCTCGCATCAAGAATGGTCCTGCATGCTGTTTTTTTTCGAGTCTGAAAGGATGTTATTGAGCGTGTTTCTTTGCAGAGGAAGATGGGAGAAAATCGGGGAAAGTTTGTTGAGGAAACTGACATGTTTTGCTCTTTTTAGTAGGGAGAATTCTATCTATCAAAATTCGTCCAATTATATATGAATAAAATCTATCTTTGTTTGCGGTAGTGGCGAACTCAGGAACTGAACAATTTGAAAGTTTTCCTTGACCACTGTTGATGCACAACTTTCTCTGAGAATTTTTCATTTATAGAGGCTCTCTTCACTGCGCACGAATGTGAACAGATATGTAGTACGGATCGTTTTAATCTTTCTTCATTCCCTCCTCAGCCTACCTTCACTAAGTGCTCGGTATTCACTTATGGAATTTTTCAATCTCACTGCTCAGACCTGAACCTGATAATCCATAAGACATAAATCTTTTGCCAAATCTCTGTAAGTCCCAGTGCCACTAGGACTGCCTTTTTGTACTGGCCGTGGCGCATTTATACACAAGCTACCAATTTTTGTAAACTTGAATTGTTTGTTAAAAGAAATCAACATTTGCACCATTTCCGAACCAATGTAAACCTCAACATTTCTCGGCCGATCTTCACTCATTCTTTATTCTTCACTTTAGTGACTAGAAACTTCATTGTTTGTCATAGAATCTGCTCATATGTATATCGTATCCTTTTCCAAACAAGTGTGACAGCTTTTTAGCCGACATGATCTGAAATAAAAAGCTCCTTGTTGCTAATCCTCATAGTGTAATCACATCAATATCCTCTCCATTTCGATACAGTATCGTTCTTGTTGTCTGTCTTTTCTTTTAGTCGTTTGATCTTGATAGGACTACGCAAAGACTTGATTTCTGTTCATCAATGTTTCAACATTTAATTATCTATACCAAAAAAAACTCGCACAGCTTTTTCTTTGTGGTAAAGCATTCCTTTTTTGGCAACAATAGTTATAATTCGCTTAGTTTTTTCTAACCTTTCGAGTGCGCAATAGACGCGCACATGATCAAGCTACATTTTTTCCTTGCAGTTTTTTATTCCACATGATGTTTTTGCATTTCTCTTGTGTCATCTTACGATCGCTGATCCTGACAACATTCACAATTACTGCCTTTGTATCCTCGTTGCTTTTTACATATATCCAGACAGTCTATACTAAATTCACGATCAAGGCGAATATCAAGCAAATCTGAAGTTTTTTTGGAGATCACCAACAATTTAGAAAATTAAGCTTATTATTGTGGCCATATATACCATAGTATCAAAAACCATAGTATGCGTATCAAAAACCTTTTCAATGCTTTTAGCCTCTTCTCGGTAATGGTGGAGCACCACATCAACTACTTATATGACCTTTAGTCGGATCAATTAACTTGAGCTTTTCGAACTCAACTAGAGAACAGCACTTTCATTGAAGATCAGCTGCATGTAGCATCAGCACCTACTCGAAGCTATTCCCCAATTTCTTGAGGTAATGGTATTTGGCAAATTGAACGCTCCTTCGAAAGAACTCATCGCGAAAATCCGGAGGGATCAACTGAGTATAGATTGTATCTCAACATTTCTCTCAGAAATGCTTGTTTATTATATGGGGTTTGCTATAGAGCTATTTATGAATCTTCCAAAAGATAGAGCTCTGACTTGATGCGACGATATGACTGGGGTTGTATGAGCCAACTTATTTTTGTTGTGTAGTAGTCTTATGAGGAATTTGCCTGTGGGTGGTAAATCGAACCTTTCAATAAATAATTTGAAAACTATCCCTTTCCTTGGCTGACAGCATACTTTCTCTAGGATACTAAAGAAGCAAGCTCTTGGTGGATTGGGTCCTAGGTAATACCGTCACATAATAACGATTTTTGGTAATTTCTTTTTCAATGATGATTTGGTTTTCAATGAAAACGTATATGTAACGCAAACGTTTCATCATTCCATCATGTGCTCTCGAATGATGGTCTAAGATCTGTTTGACTATTTACTCCGTACATATTTATCAGCAGTGAGAGTATTGCGCAACTCTAATATATCTAGAATTACTTTACTGAACAAACGGAGTAGGGGTAGGCCCTGTATTTTTTTCAAAATCGGCCGATTTGAAAAACAGCGACTTCAAAGCACAAGGTTATTTACCGTGAGGAAATTTTTCTTCTTTTTTCCTGCATCTACTTTCCTAAACGGAGATATTTATAACTTTATTCTGCAATCACAACATCCTTATGATGCAGCTGAATGCACATCTGCTGGTAAGTTTGCCCACTCCGAGTTCTCGACAATGCATAAATCCTGTTGTGTCGGTATGCGCCGATTTACATATAGTGAATGGTTATGAATAACTAAGCCGAAGGGTCCGGACATCCGCCAAAATTAATGGACCCTCGCTTTGTTTCCGGATGCATGCAGCCACTTTTCTTCTCCGTTTAGCTGTATGTTTTTTAAGGCTGCTTATTTTGGGCTCTCTTACTTTAGTGACTAAAAAATACTGACAGTCTTTGGCTAGTATATATCAGTCATCATTTAGACTTCCCAAAATTAGCTGAGGTTGCTGGAATTTTATTTGAGTTTTCATAATCGTGATGCTTTTGACGCGAAGCTGAACTTTGGCATATTTGGACCATTATAATCTCTGCTAAAACCTTAGCCACGATGGCAACATATCAACAATGCATTCCTTGATTTTAGGTTGGCTATAGAAAGGGGTTGGAAGTCGTATTTTCATGTTTTTTGGAGACCCGTTGCTGGGAAGGAGGTTGTGGTAACAGTTGTAATGGTACATTGTCATTCTCAAACGATTGCAATTGTTTTTCAAAATATTTTATTATATTTCTGTGGCTCAATATTTTGATCTGATCTCGCTCTGTCGCCGCATAGTCGACCATTTTGTTCTTTTTCTTTTAACAGCTATAAAAATAAATGGGGCAATTACCTGCATATGAGCGCGTTCGCAAATCGCTCTAAAGCTCAAATCGCTTGAAAATCTTCATAATTCCACCAAAAAGTTAATGTCAGCCCATAAGCGTTTAATGGTTATATGGTGGGTACGACCATAGCTTTGCACTTAGTTAGTACATACATAACGATGGTTCCCAGGGGATCGCTTACGATTAATGTAGGCCCATGAATTGTTGGGCAGCGTTCCTAGTGCAATTTTTCTGTGCTGATACATATAGTTGCCTTGGTTGTTTCGCACGTTCTGTGCTGTGCTCCTCTCCAGCAATAATCTTTGAATGATATTATATGATACGGAGAGTATCCGCATTTTTTATTTGAGAGAAAAACTTCGAGAAGTCTTTTGTTATCTCGAGGATAACAAATTTTTTTTCTACGTACTTGTTTACTGAACCATTTAACCAACCAAGCTTAGAGAACTGTATCAAAAAACGAATTTTTGCATTGCGTATTCTCTAAGAAACAAATATTTCACCATAAGTTATCCAGTCCTCAATAGAAAATGCTGTAACTCCATAATCAAGCGGTGGACGCAGATAAGCTCAACCAGTACCTTCCATACGAAATCTTAAAGTTCCCTACCTTCAAGATTTACTAAGTTCTTCTCGGTTGAGTAAGCTGGTATTTACGTAGGATTACTTCTTTTCTGCATTTGTTGGAAGTTTTGCTAACTCTACATACTTCAAACATCTAAACCTTACTTTGTCCCTGTTTTATAACCGGCACAGATGTTTATTATGTCAAAACAACACTCTTCTCTGCTCATAAAAACTAGCTATGTAAGGAGATCTACTAATTGCTTTTTACACAGCATATCTTTCCTTGAAAAAAATACTTATCAATGTTTAGGAAATCAAGATAGTGCGCTGAAATAAGCAAAAACTTTTGCAAGAAGTCCATAATCAGTGGAGAGAACAAGGAACCACGTCGCCCCTTCACTAAAAATCTCCAAGGAGTGGATTTCCATTCCTGAGCTTTCCCTGCTATCCTTTACTCCTAATGACCTTCATGACTCAGTAATTTTTCTTGTCTCCCTTTTTTAAAAGTAGATGGGAGGAAATGAGGGAGTAAAGAAAAGCCAACACATTACGGACGGTTGCGTCGGATGACGTGGAACTTACTTACTCTAAAAAATATGTTTAAAGCCAACCGATCTTCTAAATGCTCGTAGTGCGACAACGCAGAGTATTCTTTTCCTACCTGAAAGACTTCAATGGATCAGCCTTATGGTGTGCGTATAAATACCTAAACATAGATGCAAACTCCAGAAGTTATTGAAGAATGGGCAACACAAAATTAGGTTACCAATTTCCCATGATTTTTCCTCCATATGGTCACCCTCTTTGCATACAAGTAGAATCCGTCATGTATCTCCGGCTAATGGTTGACTCCTTAGGCATTGGAGCGGTAAGGGTTAACTTCATAGAAAATCAAAGCATCAAAACATTTTCTGTTACCTTTGGCACCTCATTATACTCTTTTGATTGTAAAATCCCTTTTTCTTTTGGAAACAATACATACACAGCCTCCATCTTAGTTTAGATAACTGCTTACAGCTAGGATAGCATCAGACTTGGGCTAAGCTCTTCTTCAAACGTCACACGAGCTTCAGAGCTTGGTCATGCTCAGCATCAACAGCTTCATGACACTTCAACTTTCAAGGATAATCGTACTTCTTCTCTGCTTTGCCCTCACTTTCCGAGTAGGGAGCTATGCTTTACGCATCTTTCAAGTGCATCATATCATAAGCTGAACGTGAGGTTCGTGCCTGTTTCGGGACCGTTTTGCCGGCAATTTCCTAAACTTCGTTGTAAAATTTGATTACCATAGGTGAACTTCGAACGTCTGCCAGCTGTAGCTCTTGCCTCAACAAACTTAACCGCATACACAAACATAAAATGTTTATGCTTGAAGAAGATCTCATTGTACTTCAATAAACAAAGAATGTGAATGTTGGCCTGGAGAATTTTATGATGCTCTTTGCATTTTCTTTCTGCCTTTTAAGTAATACTTTGAGTCTTCCGTTATGTCTGAGTTCGTGGACTCGTGATCTGGCACTTAGCGAAAGTGCCGAAGCCGTAGGCAATGGAAAACGTTATAAATCTTGGCGGGTCGCTTAAATACCCACCTTTCAGGATCAAAGGACAGCCAAACATAGAGAATTCTGCGCAGAAGCTTGACCTTGGATCAGGGCACGTAATCGAATATACAAATCAGTTGTCAAAAACTTCTAGCATAATATTTCAAGAAAAAAACGCAGCTTCTCGAACTGAACCAATTTGCTTGTTCCAATTTAATATGTAAGAGACTCTGCTCCTTAGAAGAACGCCTGAATAGAGTTTTGATAACGGTATTCACTCACGGACAAAAGCAGAGGAAAATTTTTTTGTTTCGTGTTGATTTGCCAAAAACTGAAAATCGCAGCAACACCAAATTTCAATATTCGACTTTCATAAACTTTCATGAACTAAAGATTATTGTAAACTAGCTGGCTTACCCGGCTCCGCCGTATGTTCCGAATAGAAAATTCCATTTCTTAACCGATCCGGACCAACTTGGCACACATACACTTCGGGCCCCGGCGGGTGTCATAGGCTACTTTTCGTCATCGATCGATATCGATTTTATCGATTTTTTGCAAAATTTGAGCTACGAGGCTGGGAGTTGGCACAAGGGGGTAATCGAGCATGCTGATCACCCCCTCGATTACCCCCCTGTGCCAACTCCCAGCCCCGTAGCTCAAATTTTGCAAAAATCGATAAAATCGATATCGATCGATGACGAAAAGTAGCCTATGACACCCGCCGGGGCCCGAAGTGTATGTGTGCTAAGTTTGATCCCGATCGGTTCAGAAATGGAATTTTCTATTCGGAACATACGTACAGACAGACAGACAGACATACAGACATACAGACAGACAGACAGACAGACAAACAAACAGACATTCAGCTTTATATATAAGATTCTAATAGGGCTCAATTGCTGCGAACTTTTCGTGGCTAAATTTGAGTAATTTTATGTTTAGCTTCTGTGTTTGGCTGCCGTTCTCAGGACCTGATCTTTCAAATGTCATTTCAAAGTGTGTGCCTCGTTATGAGATCAAGATCAGGCGAATCGGTTGAGAATTCAAAAAGCTCTGATTCTCTAAGAGATAATGCGACAGGATTTTTGTGATAACCTAATACAGCAAATATGGAAGCATAATATAGCTTACAATTCTTCAGAAATGTCACGATCTCCACCGAAGTCCAAAGTTCGCGTCTTAGAAGTAAACGAATTTTTTGAATCAAGTACACCGTTTGACTCAGCTCAATGAGGCGCATCTTTTTGATAAATAGAAGTGCAGGTTAGGATACGACGGTCAGATCTTGTAGATATCTGCCACTTGCGTACGCGAGCCCCCCCCCCCCCCGACAATGGGTCACAAAATCTTTCAAAGTTATTTGCATGAGTTATAGAAGTGTGTATGTAACCTGTTTATAATTGTAAATGATTAAAATAATTCTTAAAATCTTTGAAAATTCAATTTGGTCTTACAAAAAAATTTTTTCGAGGGCGTGACTGACCTCCTTTTTCTAGAATTTCGGGGTTATCGGTCAACGAAAATTTTGAGAAGCATACCAAAAACTTCGCCGATATCAACCAATAACAGTAGTAACCTACCGTATTCGAATATTCAACAAGTTTTGTCAAATTTGACCGCCTAAGTGTACCTATCGTAAACGGGTACATCTCTATATCGGAAGATGCGCTTTGCCGAGCTGAACTGAACGATCCCTTGGATGCAGATTTCATCCTCTTTAAACCAAGATTTTGGATTGCGACGCGAATTTCGGTGGACTTCGGTGGAGTTAAGTAAAGTGAATTTTTTGAATAATTTCGAGAGGTATGTATGAAGGACCTTTAGAGTTGATTACATGTTCAAAATCCGCATAGCAGCGTCTTCTCAGATCTCCACACATTATCCCGTCCGTACAGCTCGGCGTGCACTCATCCAGAAGACTTTTTCGGCCGTTCCGACGTCGGTCCATCCTTGAAACGTATAACTTTGACGGCGGCGCACATGCACCGAGGATAAAGTTTTGATGGGCAAAGGTTGATACGGGGGTCCGCCCTCATCCCATACCCCCCCCCCCTCACCCCGTCGACGCGACGGCACAAATCGCGCCCGGCGTTTGTGTGCTTTTCTCTTCCATGACTCACACCCATCGCCTCTTTTGTGGCTGTCGCGGTTTGTGAGAGTGCCAGTGTTATCACTCACCAGACGACTACGACGGCATTATGGCCGTTCCCGGCCATATATCGATGAGAATTCAGAAAAATGTACTTCCAGGTAAGCAGGCACTTAACTGATAAGATTTTGTGACTATTGAGTCACTTCATAGTCTTCCACTGTCAAAAGCGCTTTGGCAGAGAAGCGCTGTGGTTTCTATAAATTTTCTCAAATTCTTTATATTCTAATTTTGTTTATTTCATACTATTGTTATTTTCACTTATTTATAACCATGTATATCGCTTTTGTATTTGCACTAAACATACTTTTGCATCAACGTATCTTTTCTCTTCTTGAACTCCACCCCCCCCCCAATCTAGCAGCAACTCTAGTACCTCAGAATGTTCCCAATTGTTATTCCAGTTCAAGCCCTCTGTTTTTGTCCGTATGTGGTCCTTTGAAGCCGAAAAGGTAAATTTTGCATAAACAAAGAATTTATGAGCCCACTCAGCCTTCACTGGACTAAAGCTATGAAGTCGAAGCTGAAATATAATAGAATGTCAGGCTTATGCTTAGTTAAATAATGGTGAAAAAAATGAAAAAAGTTTGGAAAATTTGAAAAACTGTACTAGAAAGTATGTTTAGTTCTTTGATTCAGGATGGGGAGTTTCTCATAAATTTTATCTACCGGACCTTCTAAGATCAGTCATAGAACCTTCCACTGCATTGAAAAATTCCAAAAACAACGCTATAAGCAAAAAGTTCAAGGTCAGAATCCATAGGCTGAATATTTATTCTTCTGATAGTTTTTTTGAATTTCAATATATAATACACCTACTTACTCAGGCTTCATGGATACGTAAATGGACATTTTCGTCTACAAAAATGAGTGGCTTTTTTCCTCGGTGAATCTTTTGAAGTATCGCTACAAAATTGCGTTGTGTGTAGAGTATGGACCGGATCTATTTGAATAGAATAAGGTCATTTACTCTTACCAGCGCTTCGCCATTGTACTTTTGTTCCTCTGTGGCTGCATGCCATGAACACATCTGCCGCGGCAAAGCATTATTAAGCCGATTAGCTGGATCTGAACTAGTAGTAGTGAATCGCTCTGGATTTTTCGGATGTCAGACAGCTTCCCATAAATCAGCTATCGATCTGCAAAACTATTTTTGTCGCTCTTCCTTGCTTGGCATTTTTCACAGTCGATTCAGCACAGCAAACAGATTTCGCTTTATGATCGAATATTTCGATGCATCGCCTCGTTTGCCTTTCGCACAAAAAGATCCAAGCGACCATTGAATAGTTTTGGCAAAACTCAAAACATGGACTGAGGGGGGGGGGGTATCAAGAGCCGCGATTTTTATTGCTAAATGGACATCAATTAGCGCTTAATGTTCAATAAATAACGTTCTAAAGGACTTTCGAATTATTACGAAAATATGATTGATCGTTCCAGGACTATTTAGTTTTACATTTCGAAATAGATTCATGATTGCTAAAGGTCAAAAACCAGCGAAAATGCAAGTAATCGCAATTTTGTGAATATTTCAATCAGTTTTCCAACAAAAGCTGCCAAATTTAGCAAATGATAACTTTAAATAGTGAGTAAGCTAGAGCACTTTGTCTGGTATCTTTGAAGACTCACATAGCTCTAAATTGAGCTGTTGTATTGGTGACTTGGTGACCTCTGGAGAAATCGCGCCTCTTGACCATCTACCGCGGAAGGGGGGGGGGGGGGGGGGGAAAGGGGGGAAGGATTCTGAAAATGGTAGTAGAATTGATAGCCAAGAAGAAGGTACCTAGATTGGTTTCCTTGCAGCGTACTTCTTTAAATACCCCTTGGGATTTCTCTTTTTGCCCGCGCATTTTTTCTTCGAACTTAAGATGGTAATGCATCATGAAGAAATTCGATCCAAATGGCAAAAAGAGAAATTTAAGCCAAAGTTTCCGGAAAAGGTTGCCCACTAGTCAATTAGGAAAAGCCCACTTGAAAGCGCTTACAATTAGCCAAGCTCTGAGTTTCGGTTAACTAATAAAACAACTTCTTCAATTTTTCATATTCTTGATCAGCTGTTTGGAAGAGGTGTTCAAAGCAGCATCGCAGTAACAATGGGAAGAGGTGCAAACGGTGCAAAAAGTGCCATTGATAAGACTAATCAACCAATTTATGTCAGTTTATACCCAACTACTACAATTCCCTCTAAATGCACTTCTCTGTCCTGTCACATCAGACGTTATCAGCTTTCGAGCAGAAAGTAGGAAAAGGAGTGTGAGGGGGTGATAATAAATATTATGCTGATGTCGATTGTCTGACGTAATATTCCGCTTCATTGAAGGAATTCATGATGAATTGTAGCCTTTTAATTCATTCCGCATGATGGAGGCGTTCAGTGTGATGGAAGCCAGTGCAGATCGTAAATTTTTTTGTATGCCCATGGTTTTTGCTAGATATTTGAGTCTCTGGTGGGAAGCGAAGCTCTTAAGATTTATAAATCGAATTTGATGGAACTATATTTGATCAACTGCTTCAAATTGTAAGCTCAAATTTACATAAAATCAAAGTTTCTTTCTATGTCAAGAGAAGCTCTGAGTTACTTTTTCACACCTCTGTCTTGCTTTTCTTCTCCCATTCTTTTAAAGTTACTTACGTATTTATTTTTACAGCTGAAAGACAATATGCTTTTAGAACTTGCTGCATACCTTTGTTTTCACTCCTGATAATCATAAGTCCTGGCTGAATAGTATGGAGAGTATTACATTCTACTTTCATGGGTTACGGATTAATCGCTGAACTAACAATAGTTCAATCCGTCGAAATTACAAGCCCAGATTATTTTCAACCTTCTCCTTCATTATTATCTGCAAGCTCCTCTACCTTCTGGCAAACTCCTCTACGCTTCCTCTACGAAGCTTTCTCTTTTGATTTTCCATATCGCATTTGATTCCTCTATCAAAGTATTTGTTCACAGTCTGATAGTACATATTGAATACTGTAGCTACTGGTCCGTGCTATTCATTGCATAATAACTCAAGAAAGTTTAAACGCGGCAATTCTAGAGTACTCATATTGCACTGCTTTTACCATCTTCTAAGGGGTTTTTTCACTACTTTTTCATTACGTTGGTTTTGGATGCTGAGCGAATGGCAAGATCATGTGTGTAAGAAGCCATCTAGACTTGGTTGGCTTTAGGCCGGAACCTGCAACAATGGCCCAGGAAGTGACCCCAGATGTGGTGATCTTTGCCCTATCACGGAGACCACCCGACTGGGCAGTGTCCGCAATTTCCGATTAGTGCGTCACTTACGCGGGGGTCCGACGAGAGTCGCGCTGTCCCCTGGCAAGATCGGACCTTTGGAGTCATCTGTCATCTCTCGCTGACTTTGCAGGGGTTCGAGCTAATCCTCTTTGAAGTGTTCTTCGGCTAAGCGGCGATCTATAGCAATGTTCACGTCCTCCTTGCGGAGGGTCAAGATAGTGCTAAAGAAATTGGGGGTCTTTTTTCTGTGAATTACCACTATCCCAAAAATCTGATTCATGGAGGAGAACCTTAGCTTTGGTTAGGTGAGTTTTGAGAGCCTTAAATTTGTTCTAGACGTCTCAGGCTGCTCGATATGTGAATGAGCAGTTCGTGTTTTTTTTTGGAGCGGGATAGGGAAGGAGGGGGGAAGGGAGGGAGGAAAGATGGACTAAACAGAAGTCCATTTTGGTTAGGGTGTATGTTCTCATCTCAAAAAACCTTTCGCACTAACAAATATTTTTTTGCAATATCCAGGGAAAACCATACTAATCAAAATGAGTTACTTGCACATGATTATGTTCAGTAGAAAGTATTGAGCTTCTTATGGCATAAGCACCCTACACAACTGACACATACTGGTAAAACGACTTTTTTTGGGTAAGCGTCCTATTGAATCCTGCTCTTAGGAAAACAGCGCATTTGTCTGTCTTCCAAAACAAAGTGGAGGCAAAATTGACGAAATCAAGTTTGCTACTTGGAAGAAATTAGCAAAAAAATCATTATAAGCAAGTTATGAACAAAATAGTGAGGTCATGATATACCGTAGATTTTTTTGATTTGTTGAAATCAAAACCTCAACTTTTGGTTTAACTTAGAATCCTTTTGAAGAATAGCAAATATTTTAGAACAATGTTCAAGTCTGAATGTTTGGACGAACATCCTACACTCACTTAGTTATTTCACACCACGGTTTCGTAAACCTTCGAGTTCAAAATCAAAAACTTTTCCGTGATTTCTCGCAACGTGGATTTTTTGGCGTGCTAGTTTGGAAGGTTCTCTGATTAATTAGGTTTCCCAGTACTAAAAAATAGCAGAGCGGGGGATTGCCAACCAGTAGATGCTTTGTAATCAGTATGTCCCGGAAAACTTTCTTTGGAGGAAGGGTGGACGCCACAAATTTTTTGAAAAAGAGCGGTGACTCTAACCAGTGTTCGGGCAGCACCGTTTAACCAAGTTAGTTTGGGAAATTTCATCACTCACCCTGTTTCTTTTCTACATAGGGTGTGATTTATTTTCCCTTGGATTCTGTTGAAAATAAAACACCTCATAAGAACATATTATATGCAGCTTTTTATCATATTCTTTCCTTCTCAATCATGCACAATCAATGAAAAAAAAGTTGTAACTTTATATGAAATATTCATGTGTCATAAATGCGTGTGTACAAAGGCATGAATTATTCAACAGATGATTCTCATGCTGACACACTGTTTTGCGTCTATGATTTTTCTCTTTTCTTTCAGAAAGCAAAGGCCTCTTGAAACCAGCTCCAACCAATTCTGCTCATCTAGAACTGGTTTGTTCACACTGGAGTTTGCACCTCCGAACTAGCCTGATCATTTCATCCTCATGTAAAATCGCTAGTTCGAGAATGTTGTTTCGCTAATATACTCCTTTCCCAAAATAAACGCTCAACAGTTTTAATGCACCCTAACTATAGAAAAATTTGCTATTGCTTTATTATAAACAGGGTTCGGCACAGGTGGCTTGTAAGAAAGCTGGATATCGTTTTGGGACAAAAAGGAAGGGTAGTATCGTTTTTGAGGCGGAAAATACATAAAAATTATGAAGTTTCTTAGTCGACGTTTCGTTTTTTAAGAGTTTTCAACGTTTGGGATTAAGGATAAAGGTACTTCGTAAAAATTTGCGAACGTCAAGGAAAACTTCGTTTTCTGCATATTCCAAAAGCCACTTGCTCCGAGCCCTGATCATTTTCAATAAGTTAAAAAGAAACCTCAAACAAATGCCAACAACAGTCAATATCCTACCATACTTTATTTCAATTACATTCCTTTTTTCAAAAATATGTTCCTCTGCTTTTCGAACCCCTTTCGGCTTCTGTCGCCTCGGGCTCTCTTGATTCTAATCTGCACGTTTATATCCATCTAAACATTTTGGTCCACTTGGTGCGATTTCACAAATCACTACAGAAATATTTCTGACCCGTCGTTGTGCCTTTTCCTCTTTGCTTCTGTTTTTGATTGCTGCTTCGTTCTGCAAGTTTTTATCTCCAATTTAGCTTGTAAAGCAATCATGAATATCCATATGTCAAAATTATTTAGATATCTTGTAAAAATTGTGCATAAATGATTTTGTCATCGCAGACAGCAAGTTTGACTTTTTTCTCGAGGGTGATTTCTTGTCCTAAAGTTGCCAACAAACGCATGCCAAAACTGGTTTTCAAGAAAAAAGCTTGGTGCTGTAAAAGAGCCCCCTTTTCGGTCAGCTCTTACAAAGAAACAATGGGATTATGTCTGAGTTTTCTGTACGCCCAGTGCTCTGTCGCGTGGGTTGCGCTATGTTTGCGCATTGTATGAAGCAACAAAGCAACACCACTTGAACTTTTTCGTCCGCAAAAATTTCGAAAGTAGCGAAGCGATTTTATTTTTTTTTGCGGTCGGTCACCCCGACATCATGGTTGTCGCGCTTGTCTATAACATATCACCTCAACGTCATTGAATTTCAAGTCTTTGAACCTAGGATCATAATCTCTTTGGCTTCTATGTTCTAAAACTTCTTGCTGATGATAATACTCAATTTTACGACTATTTTTGATGCTATTCATTTATTCACTCGAGACGCTCAAAAGTTCGACAATACTGTATCTTCATTGCATGACTTTGATCTTGAGGTTACCTCTTTTTGGCATCTGCTTTTTTTGCTTGGGCAACCAAGGACCAACGGCTGGATCATGTAAGCGAAGTATTGGAAATTAAATTGGATCTAGAATCTCATAATGTGCAAGATGTAAACCAGTATAACATCTGCATTATTTGTGAGCAGATTTTGCTGGATTGCAAAAAGCCTTGAATTTGATTTGTAAAGAGACAACTTGGTATAAATCATGACAATCATGATCATTTTTATAGTGAGTTGACTCCAACAATTTTCGGAAACGAGATTTTACCTTTCTATCTTTGAACTGTACCTATCATCATGAAGTTAAATTTCAAAAAAAAATAGCCAAACATTGAAGGCATCGGAGTCGCATAAGCATAAACTTTACAATTAAATAACTCGATTCTAAATCAGGCTCTCCAAAATTGATAGTTCATCTAACCGCCTATTTGCACAGCTTCACATCAAGGAACACATCATTTTGCTTAATCAAATCAGTCTTAATTCTAGCAATTTTGATGTTCCATTTTCTCTAAAAAAACAATCCTGTTTTTTCTCTTTATTAAGATAGTCGCAAAAGCAATGAGCGTTTTTGATGCTACGGCAGAGGAAGATACAAGCTCCACACATTTCTTCGATAGAGCAAGGCATGTTTTACAAGATGGAATTCCAACCATTTCAATAAGTTGGTCCACGTGTTTGAAGGAAAATCTATAAATTATATATCTGAAAGAATGCAGCAGTTCTTTATCACTTTCTTACTTTCTATACGTGAAAAATACAACAGATGTGAATAGCTGTAGCGATAGGTAACTTTCTTGAGAGATTGAAGTTCTACAGAATTTTTTACGAACAAAAACCAATTTTGGAAGTTTGCAAATTTTCTCAAACTCAACGGGTTTTTTTTCAAACCTTTTGCAATTATTCAAGCACCATCTTGTACAGCTTTCTTCACTCCTTCGATTAGTATATTTCATACACTTACATATTTTCTTTGCAGGCAGGAAGGGAACGCTCATTGCTTTTGGACGAACCTAATATTTATTATTTTGAAAACAAGACATTTGTAGACACAGTGCAAATTAAACTGCCATTTTTGGTCACTCTATCATTTATTAATCCAAAAATGTTCGTTCCGCCCTTGATGACCATTAGCTTGTGTTTCAAATTCATCGTTTAGCAGATTAACGACATTCTGAATCACCAGTCGTAAATTAGCGAGGTGAAAAACCTGCGAATTTAAAAAAAGGATTCAAATTGGTAACAAAATTGAATAACGAATGAAGTCGCATTTGTTGATATGGTCAAGCTCTTTCCTATCTACTCCCTTATATTTTCACCTTCTGAAGCAACAAACTCTATCCTTCCACTTCTCTCACATGTAATGTATTTTTATTGATTCTTCCAGTCGCCCATCCATCTAATTGTGATATCTACAACTTTCCCTCAAACCTTGCCATTCCTTACTTTTATTTAAGCAGTCTCTGATTTTTCAGATAGATGACGATTTGGGATGAGAACCAAATCTCAAAATCATGAGTGAAATAAGAAACATTGTTATTTGTAATAAAAAAAAACCTACTCACAATTATGCTCTCGTGTCTGCTCTCATAAAAGCAGTGATTAGGTTCCTACCGTAATCCTACAGTAATAGCAAAAGCGGGTTATCAGTGCTATAAATCAGAGTCCATTGTGTGAAGCACTTTGCACATTAGTATTTGAAGTAAGATTATCGGTGGTCATTTTCTGTAGGAATGAATCATAATCTGTTTCTTTCATCGCTTAAGATAAGGAAGTATTTGTCTTCGTATAATATAGCATTTTGCAATCTGCAAATTGTGGTTCTTTTCAATTTTTCCAGCAAATAATGAAGGCTTTCTAACCCTTTATTGCTTACAAAGTCTAGACATTATCTCAAGAACTACGTATTTTCCTGCATTGCATTTCATCAGTAAATTATGCCTCATAATTCATCCGGCAGCACTTTGCTCTGAGTCGACTTTCAGTGTTCATAGTGCTCATTTCAGCGCCAGTCCCTTGGCACCGGGCCGTTGGTCACTTGGCACGTCGTGACATGTCAATCGTGCAACCGCCGCCGCAATTTATGCAGTTCGCGCAAACGCAGGCTCCGCCCATCTCTCTAGACGACGTCGATCTACAAGGCGGACGACTTATTGATGTCGTTGAGGTGAGTAGAATAGGAAAAAAGTAGAAAATTTAGAAATAGAAAAGTGCGGGAAAATATGCGCGGGTCACAGAATTCACGGAATGAGCAAAAACGTGGCTTCAACTACGACCACATATTTTCCATGGAAACGAAATTGAACTCTACAAATTGCATAAAAGAGGGCAGGAAAAGGTGTGTGTACGGAAGTTTCAGGAGAGTGTTCGCTGAATTTCTTTTGGAAGTGGGCAACAAGATGGCATTAACTACATATGGCCACAAAATTTCCTGTAAAAATGAATGATTTTGCAAGAGGTGCAGTCTTACTGAGTATTTGCTAAACCAGTAATCGCGGAATTCCATCACATAAAGACCATTTTGAACTTTTTTGGTATCCGGTCATAAAATGCGTGATGCGAATGAGAATGGCTGGCACCTTTGCCTCACTATTGCTTACGTCTACCAAAACTGGACGTTATATGTATAATTCTATGTTAAATCAATCCTTTTCGGATGTTGATTATTTTACTTCCGGAGGGGGGGGGGGAGCGGGGTGTCAAGAATGAGAACACATAGAATGCTAATGGGCACTTTGTGCGGCAAACGCATTAGGAACTTCTGCTCTTACGTGTGTAGCAGAACGTGGAGTTATCTTGAGTTTCATGTTCAAAAATTTGTAATTTTGCGCTCAATGGATTTTCAACGGATTCGCTCGTCTGTAGTTTTATCAGAAGTAATAGGTCTTTCGCTTTCGATTACTCTCTTGCCGACTTTCTGCTTCGTACTGACTGCAAAGATAAAAGTAGAAAAGGAATACCGTATAAGCTTTGTTCATTTTAGTTTGATCACCAAAAATGTGGACGCTGCGGAAAAATCTAAAATTTTCAGTACATGAGCATTCTAATCTACTCTTTGCAGCCCGTTGAGATAGCGCAAAGTCACAAATTTTTAAAAATGAAATGACAGAACTTTCGGACAGACCTAATATTATTCTAAGAAGTGTCCATGAGCAATACTGCATTAAAATCTAACATTTTTCGTTTACGGAAGCTCAGATAATAGTATCTGTATTTTTTGAACAATGAAAATCTAGACTAAGTCAGTTTGATGCTTTAAGATCAGCGAAATAGTGTGGTTACAACGAAAAAAGGAAACTGATCACCCTTCAATTGTGCACCACGTACCCTATTTTCAGGTGTAAAGCCGCCGGGCATTTTTCTGAAACCGACCAGCCCAAACAGGCCAGAAGGCTTCGCGAACGAAGGTCCCTATACCGTGCTACGTATTGCTTTAGAGAATCGTGCTACATAAGAATCGCTTTCCGAAACATGTGCAGCGGCTGAGCGGTTAGCTTGAAAATTTGGAAAAGTGCAGCTTTTACATCTGAAAATAGGGTAGATAATATTCTGAATAGAGAAATTAGAAACAGCAGTAAAAAAATCTCTCTCGAAGTAAACTGAGAAATGAAATGGCTCCTATGATCAGAATTGCTAGTGATTGCTGATTCAAATTTAAAGGCTTTTTCTAAAACTTTCCAACCAAAAAAATCTTCTCCAAAAACGTCGCGCTATTACTGTTTAGTGACCGTTCTAGACCTAATGAGTTGTAGTACGCCCTGGAACACTGCCGCATCTGTTTCTTTTGTTAACATAATAAATTTCGGAGAATTTACAAGGTATTTTTGGGCCTTTTAAGGTCAAATTTAGCGTTCGCATTTTATTGTAAATGTAAATCGGTTGTGTGGTCACACTTTTATCAAATCATCCGGTCTTACAAGACAACATTTATGATAATGATTTTTACTATCCAAACAGTTTCGCTCATATAAACGATAATGCTTCGCAAAAAGGTATCGCAGCTATAAAAAATAATAGTAGCGATTCATGAGGCAGCTGGGATACACCGTGCTCCGAATAAGCGAAACTATTCCTCAAACATATTTTGAAATTCTGTTTTTTTTCTAGGATCATATGTCCGATAGATCGCAATTTCTCCTCGATTTGTAGCTTGAGCTTTTTTCATCTAAAACGCATTTGTGCATGCATGGCAAGTTTCGTAGTCGTACCATGTGGTGACTGTTCAATCAAATACTACAGCTAACATCTTACAGTCAGGGATATGTACGTAGATGGAGCTGTCATGGTATACAAAGGTATGCAAACAGCATTTTCATCGTCTATCGGTGCTTATGAAATAGTCAACCGAACATGCTGCTGAGCAAATTGTGGTACGCGGCTGAGCACATTAGATTCATTTATGATTGACTGTTCAAGGACACCAGATCATGTAAAAGTGGATACTGACTAGTGGGATGGTCGAATAAGTACATAAAGATTTTGAAAATTGTGCAAAGCCTGTGTTTTCAGAAAGTATCACGCAAAGTGAATTTATATCCTAGTGTAAGTGTAGACCATCTCGAAAACGGCAGAAATGCCTATTGTTAGCTGTAAAAATAAGCGTTTTTGATTGAATCCGGGGAAGGATACCAAGTTCGCACTAGCTATCCGAGAAAGACATATCATGCTTAGACCAGAAGTTCCATAGAAGGTTTAGGGATGTGCGGGGTCACCGAAACTTCCTTTAACGTCCTGCGGAACTTCCGAAATGAGGTGCAGCGGAAGTTTGGTACATTTTTTACAGCTCAAAATACTGTTGAATCGCAGGCAGTTTTAAGAACTGTGTAAAGGGTGCTGGGGAAGTTCCTATTTCCAGTTGTTGTTGCGTTATATTCCTGTGAGAGAGTCCATTCTGAGGCGCAGTTTTCCAACAGCAACAAAGTCCTGGGGAACTGCTGCAGATCTCGCTTGTCCTGGAGAAATACTCGTGGATTGTCTTAGTAGTTGCGTCTCGATAAAATGGTACTAATCTGCAATCCGTATCTGTTAAAAATATTTCGAGAAGTTGTGAGCGTCAAAATTTCAATATTGGATAAGTTTTCAGAACAACAAGTCTAAACTTTGGACGTTCAAATTTACCCGGTTTATATGTGTTTCTCCCTAGTAAACAGTGTAAACAATGTTGATTTGTCTCATTTTTCCAGGAGGAAGAGATAGATGCTACAGACGGATGCCGCGTGCAAGTTATTACTTACCGAATAGAGTCCGAAGACGGTACCGAACAGCTTACGAAGACAATTCGGAGAAAGGTGAGACCTTTACAAGATTTGGGCTTTAGAACATGGGCGGAAATTAGAGCATGAATCATTTGGCCCTGCTCTTGTGTTCGGTCGTCATCTCTGTATTCATAGCGAGCATGACTCATGTTATGTTGAATGATCACATTATTCTGAGTCGTTGTATGGAAAACATGCGTTATGAGGCGCATGATCGTAAAGGAACATGTGAAACTCGGCCGCGGCTTTGAAAATGTTTTTAAACGAAACTTAACAGTGCAATGTCAGCCATTGCAAAGATTGTAGATTTCGATTCAAAGCGAACGCTATCGAAAGCTTTTTCTTGGGATTATCCTGTAAGTCCCCTTATCTTTGAACCTGGGCATGGTTTCTCTTGGTATGAACAATTCCAATATTCGATATTGGAATTGTTCATACCAATAGTATGTTCATACCAATACAACAATAGTCGGGAAAATATTTTGCACAAATACGAGGACTGGCGATGGGCCAACGCTTAGCACCCGTGCTTGCCATATGCTTTATGAGCAAAGTAGAAGAACCGGTGCTATCCAGAGGTCCACTTATGTATTGCCGCTACATCGACGACTGTTGCATAGCTACATCTACACAGTCGGAGATGGACGAGTACTTTGAACTACTAAATCAACAGTCGCAATACATAAGCTTTACACGAGAGAAACCGCATAACGGTCGGCTGCCTTTTCTAAATACACAACTGATGGTGGTTGGCGGCACGGTGCGCATAAAATGGTTCCGTAAAGAGAGTAGTAAGAATATCATCTTGCATGCGAAGTCCGCACACCCAATGGTTGTTAAACGTGCCGTTGTCCGCAACATGTTAAAATCAGCGACAAGCATTTGTAACGGCAGTAGTGAAAGGCAGGAATCATTGAAATTGGCAGCCGAGATTATGACCTCAAATGGATATGGTATACGGCCCAGACAATCAAGAAGGACTACAGTAAAGACAAGCAAACAAGCTATGGACAAAATACCTTTATGCTTGCCTTTCATATCCGAAAGAGTAACTGCTGCGATCAAACGGTGTTTGGTACAGGCTCAGCTTGACGATGATGTTGCATTAGTCAATATACCGCGAGACAACATCAGAAAGCAATTAGTCCGTAACAGGCTGTATGATACCAAATGTATATCTCGTGATTGCGTAGTTTGCCCGTACGGAAAACGTGGCGATTGTGCAAAATCTGGTGTCGTTTATGAAATTGAATGCTTGGAGTGCTCTGCCATCTATATCGGTGAGACCGGACGACCATTGAGTGTACGGATTAACGAACATCTAGCTAGTAAAAAGAGACAAAGCATGATAAGTCCGCTGGGAAAGCATAGAATGATGGAACATGGCGGTGCCGATTACGAAATTAGGTGCAAAATTCTGGGCTACGAACAACAAATTTCTGCACGAAAAGCCTTAGAAGCATCCTACATTCTTGTCCGAGACCCGAAACTAAACAGCAAGAATGAAAAATTATCTTTGACGAGTGATCTACTGCCGTATCTTTCGTTCTGTGAACTATAAGAATGTTTGCCCATATATAAGCAACATTGTGTCATCTTGGTCAGCTCATTTGTCGCATTCTGTCACAACAGCTGACACATCGAGTGGCTATCCGCTGCAACACGGTGATACATTTGGTGGGTACACAGCTCCTCCTGAACTCTCTATTTTCACTTGAGACGAATCGAATGGCAGCTAGGATGAGGTGTTCGACGGCTCAGAACGTGTATCACTAAAACTGACAACTTTTCAGCCTCTGAAGACGGCGTCCTGCCGAAACGTCAGGCAATAAAGTTGTATCACCATTAACAACCTGTATACGGCACAGCAAAGTAATTGGAATTGTTCATACCAAGAGGCTTTTTCTTGGTTTTTTAAGCCCCGTATTTACCGATATGCTTTCACAAAAAGCAGCAGAACGCTAATCTTCTCCCACGCGCAATATACCAGAAGAGTCTTTGGCTGATTGTTTTGAAGTTGTCAACCATGGAAGTCATCTCTGCGACGGCAAATTTTCCTATTCATTTTCGTTTACCTATAGATCTTGGTAATTTCATAGTCAAATACGCGAATACGGTACCTTGTGAAGCGTTTTCAAGCTCTTTATGATTTTCGACATAATAATCTTTTATCTAAGGTGGTCTGATAATAGGATAGAAAATAGTATTGTCCACTTCCCCTTTTCTTCTTTCACTTTGCTTCCCTCGCAAAATTTTACCATTTTCTTATTTTCTTTTTCTTTTCCTATAATTCTTATTTTCGTGAGCATTTTTTTGCGACCGTCTAATTACGTATCACCATTTCCTGGAAATTAGAATTTTGTAGCTAAAGTGTGGTTCATAATTATACGAACGCCCCAAATTTTGAAAGTTTTTGGACCTTTTGGAAGAAACTCAAAAAGCCGTTGGTACCACGCGATAGAGCACAGCCGAAAACGGTATACGATCCACAAGAATGGAAATCGATGTCAATCTTAGGAGTGTTTTTGCGCCTAATGCGAATTTTTAGCGGTGCATAATTATACGAACACCTCAAACAACACCTCATTTTTCATTCAAGATTGCAATCATTTGAGTCCAAATTTTTTGTAGAGTTACAGTAACAAAGTCTGACATATCTGCTACATACTGAACCCTGTGCAGCTCAAAAAGAGGATCGTACTCTTTTCAGATGGCTCTAAATGCTTTCAAAGTGATTGCGCTCCAAAAACATCCGTTCTTCTGTGCTTTACGCGCTCTAATTAGCTTCTACCAAAGCTGTGAGATAATATAAGCTCTTTCGATAGGTATTTCGTTTGACGCTCGGAAAATCTTTGCGTTTTCGTGTCGTTTCTCAATCAAGTTCCGACCTTGCCCCAGAGTTAGCACGATTTCGAGCCTCAAAACTCAGCTTCAGATGCCCTACAATGAAGTAAGCAAATAGTATGTAGAAGTTCACAAGACTGTGTATCTGGATAGAGAAAATCAGCAGCGTTGAGCGTTTGTTTTGGCTACGCAGACGTCATTTCACCAAAACCACTGTTTATACTATTGCAATCACAACGTTATTTGGTTTTTTGCTCCATAGCTTCAACATCCGTTCTACAAAAAACACAAAAACGTTGGCACGGATACTTCATCATGCAAGGAATGCAGATGCTTCATATCAAATGTTTGCGCGAAAGGGAAGCTGAGTTTTGAGGCTCGAAATCGTGCTTACTCTAAGGTAAGGTTGGAACTTGGTTGAAAAACGGCACGAAAACGCATAGATTTTCCAAGCGTCAAACAAAATATCTATCAAAAGAGCTTATTTCATCTCATAGCCTTGGTGCAAGCTGACTAGAGTGCGTAAACCACAGAAGAACGTATGTTTTTGGAGCGCATTCACTCCAAAAGCATTTAGAACCATCTGAAAAAAGTAACAATCCTCTTTTTGTGCTGCACTGGGTTCAATGTGTAGCAGATATGTCAGACTTTGTTGCTGTAACTCTACAAAAAATTTGGACTCAAATGATTGCAATCTTGAATGAAAAATGAGGTTTTGTTTGAGGTGTTCGTATAATTATGAACCGCTAAAAATTCGCATTAGGCGCAAAAACACTCCTAAGATTGACATCGATTTCCATTCTTGTGGATCGTACACCGTTTTCGGCTGTGCTCTATCGCGTGGTACCAACGGCTTTTTGAGTTTCTCTCAAAAAGTCCAAAAACTTTCAAAATTTGGAGTGTTCGTATAATTATGAACCGCACTTTATATAGTTTATAGTTTATATGCTTTCGAGTTTACAACAGCTGACAGTCAAGAAATCGACAATAATTGCTTTTGATTTTATTCCAAGGAGAAATTTTGCGCTCTGTGAAAGCATCCCAACTTTGCTCCATGTTCAGGGCTGAGAGGGTGAAACCGAAGAACAAATTCATTCGAGTTTTGATTTTTCCATATATTAGGTCGGCCAAGATTTGCAACATTGCAATAAATTTTGATTTGTTATACTTCCAAGTTTATGATCCGCTCTCAGACAAAGTTTATGATAATCGAAACGTCTTCGTACATCAAAGACATCGTAAAATTCGAGAACAAAATAGAAAAATTTCATTAATGTTGCAACTAATTCCGATAGTGCATAGAAGTTTTTTTTTCTCTACCTTACAGGGAGAGGAAAAAGGAAGCTCTTGAGGCTCTTCCTAAAAATTTTTTTGCTACAGAACTTTCTCATTAACACGCCACATGACATAGTATTAATCATTTGTGTTTGAACTGACCATCATAACAGTGTCAAAAAAGAACTGCGAATCACTTTTTTAGCTAAAGGCTCTATCTGCAACCGCAGCAACGAGCAACTCACTATGCAAACAATAGGTATGCCGAAATTTCGCGACCCGATCACCGGCGCCTACAAAACGCACGAAATGCACTTTGCTCTCGTTTATCGAATTTCCCCTTTATATGGTTTCGAGCACTACCATTCCCGTCGAATCCTATCCACTAGCTTCTGACTACTGGCCATCATGAGTGATTCTGACCCACTGAACATTATTTTCAATCCTGATAAGGAATTCATTACTTCGGTGGGTATCCGATCCTTATTCATCACCGCGGAAGCAAATTTGGTGATTAAAAATTGTGCTATCGATTGTGTATTCTCTTCTGGTTCACCCTATTTTTTTGACGTTCGTCTGCGAAAAGTTATACTGCCAAAACTCAATGTTAAAGAATGACTAAGCTTATTGATTGGTTTTATACAAATATGTATAGTTTTGGTTAGTATACAGTTAGATGTGTTTTGGCCTTCTCTCCATATAGCGTAAAGCACAACCATTTTGTATCTGAAAAAATTTGCAAAATAACTCTATGGCTGTGCAATTAACATTTGCAAAACAATTACATAGTCTTCATTGCGAAAAATTAAGATTCCAATCGTAAGACAGCAAAAATGCGCTTGGGCCGGTCATTTAGTCAATACACTGATCACCATTATCCTTCAAATATATTCTTTGGCGGAATATCACTTATGATTAGAAGCACAGTATTTTATGGTTTGTATTGCTAAAGGAAAACATTTTGAATTACATAATTTGATCATTATTGGATGCTCAGGCTTGTCCAGTGCCTCTTTTGCACATTGGGTAGGATGAGAAATAGAGCAAACATAAGTGCATAATTGATTACACCGTTGTCAGTTGTCCTGCCCAATGTATGATTCGGATGTATTGTATCCATTCTGAAGAGAATGGATTGGCTGCTATTAGCTGCTATCTCCATCGAAGAGCGAGAAAAATCCACAAAACTCGCGAGAAAAAATGGTGCCTCATGAAAAAAAATCTAAACGGTTCTCTATAAAATCAAAGATATCACAAACATCGTTGAGTACACGAATTTACTCATTCAATCCATTTTTCGTGAGAGAAACGTGCGGTCTTGGTAGGGGCAGTAATGTTTTTTTTCCAATTTGTATAGTAAGATACTAAATGGTACTGCGGAATTGATTATTTTAAAATGCAAACAATCAAACGCCGTTATAGCGATTTCACTTAAATTTATAATCGTGCATAATCGTCAAGGGTGATGCAAAGAATTCAATACTTGTAGCACAAGCGATAAGTAAAATTTATTTTTATGGCTACAGTAAGAACATCATGGTCTTCTGTAGTCAGATTTCACTCTAACGCACTAGCGAATCATTAAAGCGAAAACTAAGCGAAAACTTCAACATGTGCTAGTTTTTTTCTGCACTCGGGGTGCTAATCCATGCTGAAACGCATCTGGATCGCGTACAATGTGGTCGAAAGCTGCGTTCTGCACTACTGCTTTCATATCCTCCTACATAGCTGCAAGCCATGCTGAATCATATCTGCTTTCTGTTATGTTGGAACATAAGTTGTGCAACTTTGTCCATAACTTTTTTTTTGCATGAGACGCATTTAAATTTAGGCGTTATGTAGACTCGGAAGTGGGCATAACTGCGCAAACTGCTTTTTTTTCTGAGAAAATGGAAAAAATCTACACATGCTCCTGAATGCGATCAAAGTCGACATCATGTGGTTTTTTTTTAGCGAAAACGAAGGGGTACAGAAAACGCATTAACCAAATTCAACCAGAGCTGAAGGCAAAATATTTCCAGAGGTTGGCTACCGAGCTCATCAAAAAAAGAATTGTAAATTAGGGTCAAAACGAAACCTGGCGATCTCGTGAACTCAAAGAATTCGAATGCGTCAAAATCGCTTCGGAAGTCTATTAGTGCCAAAAAGTCGGAACTGTAGGGTTGTGGCGAAACTTTGCACAATAAAAGATTTGACATGCTGAATACGAATATGAAATCACTTGATGTCAGAATAAAAATATAACCCATCAATTTTTCGTAATTCAAGCTTTTCGTAGCAAAATTAGCCTTCCACGCAGAATGAATATCGTTTTCGTAATCAGGATGTCGTATAACCCCTCCCACCAAATTTTATCCGAACCTATGCCAATTTCTTTTTTTCCTATTCAAAAATGTCTTACCGTAATCTCAAGAGCGGAAGAAATGATTGCTTTCATTACTGACTTGATAATCATTATAGTAAATGCAAGCGCCAATCCAGAAAGACAAAAGTGTTTCGAAAAAGCTGCAAAACTTATGTTCCAACCCACTGTCACCACCCTCATTTTCATACTGCATCCTAAATCTCCAATTTCAATTATTTCACAGATAAAATTCGACTGTATGCAAACATCCCGTCGTCTTGAGTTGTCAAATGGTAAAGAGGCCAAAGTCGAGGAGAAATGTGAGCGATATCAGGGCGACATCAAAGGTTTCAAACCAGTCGAGGTGACTGAGAATAACCGATTGCTGCATTTGGATCCAAATAATGCACAGGTAAATAGATAAAATTTTATATCTTCTATGATATATTTTCCGCTTCCGTCCAATAGTTTTTAATCGAATTTGTTTTTACCTTCCTGAGCTCGTAAATACTACATACAGTAATCCTGTTTGATCTGCTGCAGAGACTCTACCAAATTACCCCATAAAATTTCCTAACTGGCCTGTTTTTGTTGTCTCTCGTTAGAGTCTAAACTAATGCGACTGCGTTGAAGGAAAGAAGGGATTTACTCAAGTGCTTTGGAAAGCTGTTGGAGGCTCGTAAAACAAAAGAAGAATTCGCTAAAATTGGAGTTGATGTGAAGACTCATAAGTTAATTTGACCATGCGGCTCTAGCATATGACTTAGACATTATTACTTATTTATATTACCGTTCACGCTTTCATATCTTCATACCATTTTTAATGTTCATGCCACTAAAATTATGATACTAGGCTACCCATCTTCTGCCATTTTCTAGGTTTCTAGGATTCTGCTAAGTCTGTTTTCCCAATAAAAAGCTTCATATAAATGCTAACAACATACATGAAGAGCTGGGACTTTTATAAACAGTGTGAACGATTACCACCTGGCAATTCTTGCAAACAATTTGCAACTTTCTTTTGATGTCTTTAAAATTTTAACCCATGTCTTCGAAAAAATGATTGAGTTTCACGCTTTGAATTGTTTGCTACATATTATATTTTCGGCTTTTCTGAAATGGCTAGTTAAAACTAACCAATTTCGTCAAGAATGATGTCAGTAAACATTGCAGCAAATCATTTTTGTCTCTTTCAGGATGTCGCCATATCTAACGTACTCGGGCAAGTTCCGGATACTTTTATGAGTATGTTATCTAAGGAAAAAGACACACTGGGTAAGAATGACTTCTGCATATTTTTTGTTAGAGAAATATGCTTGGATTATTTTTACTGGGGAAGCTTGAGAATCTTGACTTTGAAGAAAATCATTATGTAGAGTACGATCTCGAAATCTCAAAGAATGGTTGACTTCAGCTTGTAAAGTATGAAAATATGATAGAATAAGAAGTAAGCGATTATGACACATCAGTCATGATCCTTGTGGTTCTGAATATCATTACCCTTTCTGATTTTTATTTTTGCACCGCTCTCTAGAATTACAGACTAAATCGCCCATTAGTGTAAGTCAGTCACAGTTCAAGACTTTGAGAACCTTAAAACAATCAGTCATTTCTGATGTACCCATGAACAATATTGATTTAGTCAAAGAAGTTGCACTATGTCTGGAAACGCTGTAAATTTTTAATGGTTTAGTGAAGATGTTTCCCGATCTCTTTGCCCGAATGCGTTCGCAATCTTCCCTGATACCGGCATCGACGACGGAGGTGATAACAAACCCTGATGGCAGTACCACAACCAGAGTTCGAAGCAGTAAAAGCTATAGGTGGGAGAAATTGAAAAAAAATTCAAGCATAGAAACATCCTAAAAGATCTCAACTTTTTTCAACTTAACGATATAATTTATGTTCGGTTAGCAGTTCCCAAAACTTCCGTTCGAAAAAAGTTTTATACCTTAATTGCACGGCTCGGCACGAGTTGGCTAGTTGAAAATGCAAAAAAGGAAGAACCCCACCCCCCCCCCCCCCGACTTTTGCAAATTTATGCGAAGTCTCCTTTGACCCTAGACCATAATCCCTGAAAAATCCCCAGAAAACGAAACGCCATCCAAAAAAAAAACGTCGCAAAATTTGTGCCTTTTCGGCCACAAAAACAAAACCCCCCTTGCTTCTTGTCCCAAAAACGATATCCAGCTTGCTTATAAGTAACCTGTGCCGAGTCCTGCTTATTTGTTGTGCATTCTCAAGCAAAAATAGACGTATAAATACGGTAGCGACATGAGAACGCTCTTGCGAAAGCAGTTAGTTTCTTAGTTTCTTTAAACGAATTGGCTGTTTCTTAGAGCAAACAAGCTGCTTGTCTTGGGTGGGGTCCTTAAGATCTAAAAATTTTCTCTGTACATATTTCAAGGTACTTCTCCCAAACAGTCTGAAAAACCTGGTAAAAACCGAGAATTCCCATAGATGCAACCATCAACTTAGTCAACAGCAGTTCCTCTGTGTGCTCATACTAGCAAAATGTCCCTACAGAGTAACTAAAAAGTTAGAAGAAAAACTAATTTTAAGTGCTTCGGTCAACTTTTATGTAATTCTAGGGGCATCAGTGTACAGTCTTTTTTTATAGAAAGAAACAATACTTTTTTCTTGCACAGACCTCCATACCAATACAATGGCTTATAAACAGCGTTGCTAAGGCTTGCGTTTTGTCGCGCTCATTCTGAGAAGGCTTTCATTTCTTGAAAATTCGTATAAACTCAAGTTGACGGCTAGTATACAAATATCAGATCGCTGTTGCCATTTATCCTGTCTTTACTGATGATTTTCTTATTTCTCTGCTCCTTTATCTGCTTTTGACTACAAAGAATTTCACCTATCTTTAGTGCTGCACAGAAAAGTTTATGAGGTTCACGGCATTCTGTATGCTTAATATTGTGAATATTAGAAACTAATTTTGCTTTGAATGCAATAACAGACAATCAAAGAACATGCGAAAGAGCTCCTCTACATGTGTGGCTCATCTCATGCTCTTATTTACACATCCTCCATCAAATGTCATTCAACCAGATGAGGTTGTCAGCAACCTATGATATAAAAAATTCGTTCATAAGCTTCTTCGTGGTCATAGGTTCACAGCAAAGTTCCCACGCAGGTAAAAGCACTCATGAGTTTGAAAGCAAGATTTCATATTAATAAATGACCAACAGTACTTCTACCCATCACCGCCACCCCCTCCCCCCTCTTTTTCAATTCTTAAAGCTAAATACCTTTTATTTATCTAAATTAGAAGCAGAGCTGTACATCCCCTTGACAACTTATTGAGTTTTGATTTACGATATCAAACTCTGGAAAAGGGAAATGCGGATAAAACTTAGCAATTCAAATTTTCTCATTTTCTAGCCTGCGGTTTCTTATGCTTGTTTATAGGTAAGAAGATATGTTGATTGAACTTTTGCTGTATCTCGGGGAAGAAGTTACAAGGGAAGCTTTGAACGGCTAGAAACGCTTCAATAGTACCGAGATCCACCCGCTAGAACTCTGAGAACTTGTTGCTCTCACACCGTTTGAACCATGTAAGATGGGTAAAAAGTATCAATTTGTAATTACGAAGGCTTGTGAAAAATTCACAGAACTATCTTCAGTTCTACTGGTGGACACATAATCGTAGACAGTGGAAAAATCCATACTTGATCTGTCTTCAATAGTTTTTTTTGCGAGAGATTTTGTCTAATTTTAATGATTACCAACGACTTTCCGAATCCTAAATTTGAAATTAGCATCCAAACTATAGAATCATATTTGCTATATTTTCGAGCGGGGCTGATTCTTGTGTATGCAAGAATAAAGCTTTTGTAATGATCTTTAAATTGCCTAAATTTCAGTTTCCTTCTCCAAAATAAAATTGCGGCTTGTGTACCTAAATAAACGTGATAGTTTTATAATTTTTGGAAATTGAAATCAGCTGGCTATCGCAACGCCCCCTTTTTCTGAATTTCGGGATTGCAGAGCCTTAGAAATTGGAAAGCATCCCAAATAAAATTCGTAGTAGCAGTTCGTTTAAAAAGATTTTTGTCGCACATTTCTCCCCCCCCCCCCCTCCTGGGGGAAAACCGTGGCAGGTTTTGATCTCACGTGAAGTACACAAAAGCTCTTCATTAATGCATTTTCTTCGCTGTTGGATACAAATCTTTGGATTTAGGTCAAGAAAGTGCTAATTTTTTGAAGTTCATTCGATTTGTGCAAGAACTTTCACCAGATCTTAATATTCAATCAAAAGCTTCCGGTAAATCTGATGAAATCATTTCAGCGCTTTAGGACTCACATCACGAATAAAGATAACGTCAAAATATCAGTCAAAACCATCTTAAGCAAGTTACGTTTTCAGCCCTGAGTTCTTCTTTCCTTTCATATAGCTTTCTGAGCTCTTAGTAAAGTGGTAAGTACCAGTGGCGTACCCAGAATGGAAATTTTTTTGTAAATTTTTAAAGGTCTAAAAAAATTGTTTCAATCAACCACAAGTAGAAACAAGAATTTTTATAACACATGTAAGTAACTTTCAAAAATTTCGCCAACCATCTCCCTCATCCCCCTCCCCTTCGGTACACGATTGGTAAACACTGATTGTCTATAGATCAAATAATCACTGCCAGCATCGTTTGAATCTCCAGCGCATCTTATTTCATCATAAAAAAAATTAAATCTGGTTCCCGATACCGGTCAGCAATCAACGTTTATCTGTGTAAAGCATACCACAGGTATTTAAAGCTATCACTTCCTGTATTTGTGGGTATGTGACCATAACATTTGAGAAACATTTGAGATGGTTGATGTGAATAAGAATATGTTTAAATGGTTCCGTCTGATGTAGTTTCGTAATTCACTGCGAAAAGGAGTCTCTGTAAGAGACGAAGGAAGAGGAAAAAAGCTTGGGAGCAAATAAAAGGACTTCTTTCTTGCATGAATGGGCAATGATGTCAATTTGGATGCAATTTATGAATTGGAGAAGTTAGCAGCCGTATCATCAAGAGTCGAAAATACTTAATAAAACTGGTCGTCATTTTTCGTTTAGTGTGTAACCACTGCTTTGCAAACTGTTGGAATTCTTCGTGGAACTGTGTTCGAGAAATGCATAAACGTTTTTCGCTACAGTGCGTTAAGGCGATCGAATGTATGTTTTTCTTGGACATTATGTTAGTGTGGAGAACCTGCTTTGGACCTGGAAAAACCCCTCAACATTAAAGAAAATGGGGCGTGCTGACCGTGGCTAATTTGTCAGACATCGTTGTTCTAACATTTCCTGGTATACTACCTATACCTGCTTACTACTACTATTTACCACTATTATCACAAGAGAAACTTACTGGACCATAGAGCTTGTTAACTGCTTATTGGCCTGGTACTAAAAGCTGACTGGCACAAATGGGACATGTGGCCACAATGTTGGATGTGCGGGCCAAAACAAGGTTGATTTATTCACCTCCTGGCTCGCGGCACATCCAAAGCCGATGTCCGGGCATTTTTCCAACTGCTGGCACAGCTCCAGACGACCTGCTGATGCTCACCTCTGGCTCTGTGCTTTTCTCTCTCACCGAATTAGTGCCCCGCTCTTTTTGGAAGTACTTATGGTAACTTTTTATATAACACATTTTTATACTATTTTTTACACTACGTTGTCTCTTGCTTTTTTTTTGCAATTTTGACTTCTTACTTTTAAGTCATAGCCTCTTCCTATACTCTAAGTAGTCCTCGGAATTGATAAAACAAAGCAAGCTCTACATGACGGCTTTCAAGCGTTAACACATTCTGACAAACATGTGATATGAGGCAAAATTTGAGAAATAAACTGTCATATAAAAAAATCGTTTCAGTCCAGAAAAATGCACATCCCACCCTTTAACGCATGTGCTGTCTACGTTCGATATTAATGTCATACTTGCTCTATGAAACAGGAAAAAATAATAGGAATTAGGGAAAAATGGATGCGATTTACAATTTTGCAAAGGTTTGTGCTCCCACATACGTGATTTTATAGCTTATAAAAGTAATACAGCCTTGCATATACTTGCACCTTCGCAGGAGCCTTGATTCTTGAAAGTGCCAATTTTATTCATCTAGAGAAAAAAGACAGTTTGATTTTGATTTTATAATGTCCAGCTTACCTTTGCGATTTGAGTGATGTATCTATTGATCAATATCTCTCTGAAAATCCAAGCAATTATAGCGGTTGACCAATTCGCTTAAGGGTTATCGAATTTGTTCTTCTTATTACTCATTTATGAATAAGTATCTCCATGACGTGACATCATTTATGAAGAAGTACCTCCCTGACGTAACACCACAGGCAGCTAATTAGGATCGCTATTCGCTAAATAAAGAATCGTCACAGAAAGGATTTTTTCGTAAGAGGTGATTTGTCGTGGGGTAACGTTGCATCACTAGCCCGTGAAGCTTAAATTGACTCATCATGCTTGATTTTTTTTTCGCATCGTCGTTCTTGTTGATCAAGGAGTAAGGAGGGAGAACAATGATCAAATTGTTTTCTGCTGTATATTCTTAGAAATTTCATTATAATTCATAAAGCGACGGTTTGAGGAGCTGACTTTCCATCACAACTCAAATTTTGTCTCCTTTGTTAACATTATCTGTATCGACTTCGGCTATGCTTCACAATCAAGATTATTGAATGTGAAGCATATCCTAAACTTTTTTAAACGTGCTTGAGTGTCTGGCCGACGAAAGTGGCTCGCAAAATCATAAAAATGAACAAATGAGAATCCAACTTTTGCCAGTTGCATTGAACATCGAGGAAAAAAGCTTTTCGAAACCTCGCTTTATGGCCGGAGAAATAATGTGCAAAAAACATAGCCATCGCATTCATTTGTGTAGATAATTTGAAGGAACACCGAAAAGACTCTTTTATTTGCTGGTCATCAAAAGTGGTAAGAACGGTAGGAAGTAAACCTAAGACGAGTCGGTACCAAAAGAAGGGTAAATTTTGCTACATGAGAAATCAAGCACGATTGACTGACTCCAGAACGAAGTGGAACCCAGCTCGTGCTTATATAAGACAACCTCGTACAAAATCCTGAATGGGAGCTAAAATCTCTGACTTGAAAACGTAAGAACCGCCGTGAAAGCTTCGATGCAGTAGCATCCGATGTGGAGTAGTTGGCAAAATTGCTACATTGAAGACGGGAAACTTCTGCTAAGCATCACAACACTCCTCCAAAAAGGCAGAGCTTCAAATAAATGCTTAATCAGAATAAGGATACTTTGAAAATTCTTAAAGCAATGAGAATTATCTCTTAAGTCTTAAAGTATCGAAAAGATATACTCTTTGAATTATAATGATGTGCTACTTTGCATTTCAATGTTATTGCTTTGATACGAAGTCATTTTTCTCGGTCGCATAGCGTGTCGAACCGGAATTTTGCATAATCCATATGATTTTGCATCTTTTGTGTTTTCATACGACTGTCTCTCGCAATCGATTTTTCCTCTCTACACTGTCTGCTTCGGTACCTTGATCGATAAAAGTATGTATTTGTGACTGTTTAATCAAATCTTAAAGCTTTTAAGAATCGTATCACATTCATGCTATCTACTTTTATTTGAATCCAAATGACAGCTAATCTCCAAAATTTCCTCATTGGTTAGAGTAGAAATGAGATGAGAAATGTAAGTCCGGGAAAAGGCAGTAGAAATCGGGAATGTCAATAATATTTCAGAGTTTAGATGTTCATATTATGTTTTTTTTATTAATCGGGTTGTCTGTTGAATTTTGAAACCAGTTTCTATGTACTTAAATCAGATTTTTACGAAGTTAAGAATACTCAATTAATCCTTTCTACGCCGCTGCTCTAAGTTTTCCTAATTTATTACAAATTTTGAAACCCTCACCTTCAAAGCTCTTCCCCCCCTTTTTTTTTGAAATAAACAAGCGCTGGTAGTAGTCGTGATGGAAATTATTATTTGGTCAACTGCAAAACCGAATAGCACTAACATGCACAGAGACAAATATTGGGAGTCCATGTTTTTGAAGGAAGCAATAATAATTTTGACATTATTTCAGTTCGCACTTCTCAAAACATGAAACATACATAAATGGAGTGAAGCAAATGTCGAAAAGCTCCTTCAAAGCATTCGTTGAGTATAAGGTAATCTTGTATTTCCTACAGAATTTATCATTTACCATCCTTTTATAAATACAGTGAAAAGTTTTTTTGACGATTTTCAGGGCCCTGAAGGAGGATTTCGTGTCAAACTGGCGGACAACGCTGATGATCTTTCTGAGGAGGAGGACGATGATCGTACCAGCAGGTAGAAATTTTTGGTTTTGACATCTTCATAGTTGTCTGAAAACTCATTTTTAGATGTTATTCTGAAATTACCGATAGCGAAAGCGATATACAGCCATACGGTGCTGCACAGAAGCAGCAGGCTGAAGCGAAGAAAAGGCACGACAAGGTGGGTACAGTTTTTCCAAGAATTTACAATTTGTTCGTTGTAAGTCTTTTTACTCCAGGCCTGGTTCGCCGCTAAAGAGTTGGTAGACAGTGAAAGGAGATATGTCGACAAATTGCGATTGTTAGATGAGGTAAATTTTAAGAAATGCTGCTAGTAACAATGTTATCCTGGAAATTTTAGATATTCCGAGAAAAAGTGGTCAAAGAAGCTGGAATTGACAGAGACAAACAACATAAGCTTTTTGCCAACATCTCCAGTCTATACCAATTCCATAACACTCATTTCTTACCCCAGCTGATGGAGGCTAGTCGAGATTGGCATACAACAAAAAGGTTAGTGTTACTCTTGATCACAGAATGGCTGTCATTTGTTGTTACCCCCTCCCCCCCCCTTCGAGAATGGATAGCAAATTCTTTGAAAGTTACATGAGTTATTCTGCAAGTGACCTGCTTTAACCTTCAAAGACTTGAAATAGTTTTTAGCTTTTTAAAATTTCAAATTAGGTTGGTAAAATTTTTTTCGAGGCGTGGCTATCGCCCATGGCACACGCCATACTTGGTCCATTTGATCCTTGATTGATTTTGTCCTCTTCGCTTTGGTCATTTCACTGATTTAACCAATAGCTAAGTGAATCAATTGGATCAAGGGATTAAACGGATCAATTATGGGCCGCGCCTATGGGTCTGCAAAAATGCTGGAAAACATTCCGAAAAATTTTCGGAGTGTGTCCCCGGAACAAACTTCTCGGACCGCTACTGCATTGTATACCCTAATCATGAACTTATGCGTTTTCCTTCCGCACTTCAAGGTACAATCGATATTTTGTCTTGCACTGTCGAGATGAAAGCGTAATGTTGATCGTGGCGCTGATGATGCGCATGGTACTGCGAAAGCCTTTTTTCCGCATAGTATTTCTCCGATCAAGTTTTTCCTTGATTTGCAGTAGACTTTTGCTTCCGCACCTTTCGCGCAATTGTAGCAGCCTTTTAGATAAGCGTTTTCTACCGAACAATTTTCATCTTCAGTTTGCAAGATCGTGGTTTCGACGGTTTTATCAAAGTTTATTATGAATTCGGCTGAAACCATATTAGATATGTGCGCTATCAGTTGATTTCTTTGTTTTGTCAGCTCCCAAGAAGGTGTTTTGAGCGGTAATTTTAGTTCTACTCGGTCGAATTCTTCTTGCAGTTTTGATTGCGTACATTGACAATTGACGCTATTCTCTGCTGCAAAACATCTGCAGTCGTCTTCATAGGCGCAGTTCAATTGCCGTGCTTTTTCTTTGGTTTCGCAAAACAAATTTGGTTTAATGCGGTCTGTCCACCATACTGTATCAATGCCGTTAGTTATGAATTGATAGAAAATGAGTGGGGTTGGAGGGATAGTCATCATTGTCATAGTTATCTGTAATGAGGAAAGCTTTGTAGGAACGTTTGGAATCGCTGTTATAGTATATTGTTCTTTTCCTCCTCAGCATTGCCTTCAGGAATATTCGCGTTGTGATACTCCGTTAACAGAATGCGCTCAACCGGTTTTTGTTTGAAACAGTCCAAGATGAATTCCATCAGTTTTCCTAGTCTCCTTTCAACTGCAGCATAGTGCTTATACGCTAAAATCGGGGCAACAGGATCCTTGGCAAGGGAGGCATGGAGGGCTCTGGTTAAAGCTTGTGGTTTGGCTACATTTAATATATGCGTTGAAGTAGATGCTCCGCTTTCATTGGTTTGGAACGCAGGATTGATTGTAATTGCTTCTAACTGGATTGCTAACATTTGGGCGCGATCTATAGCTACATGAGCAGTTTCTATGTAATCCTGAGTTACTTTTTCTTGCTCTTCAGGAAGAGAGTCAATGTTGCTGTCTACTAAATGCGCAAAATTGGATAAATTATCTATGACTATTTTGGTAGTTGCTTTTAGTTCGTAAATTAGACGACGCGCCTTTTGTATTATATCGTATTGCAAAAACGCCGATTGCTCTAGCGCTGCCATTTGTTCACTCTCTTGAATTAATCTATTAAGGTTGTTGCAATACCTAGTTAGTAGCGCTTTTTGAGATTTTATAGAGATTGGTCCCGCCATTTAAATTTTGCAATCACTACTTTTGCGCGTACAAATCAAGCGAATTATAATTTCTTGAATTTTTTTTTTTCGCAATTCACGAGTTATCGAAAACTTAGATTGCGCTAGTTTGGATGAATTCACTGTTGTCGTACCTATGCAGTCCTTCGGTTCCTTGTTGTGTGGTCCGATGCACCATATGTTCGCTGCCACGCGGTAATGACCAACCAAACGTCAGTAAGACCAACAACACGATCGGGCGCAGAGTTTATTCCTCAAACTTGGGTAATTAAACCGCAGTCTGATACATTTTGAAACAATATATATATGCGCAAAAATATGAAATTATCATAAACCCTTTTTCTTGCATGAAAGTGAATAAGCGCATTATTGATAAATGTTTTTCGGCACGAAAAAGTGAGTATTCGAAAATGACAACAATTCTTTTTGGCGCAAGAATAGAAGAAATGCGTGCGCAAGTGAATTTCTTTTTGCCTCAAAAATGATCAAAACGAGTTGCAATAAAAAATGAAAACAAGAGAACATCAACGTGATTGAAAAGAACAAAGAAAAGTATTCTGCCCCTGCGCGCTCGACCGCGGCTTCTTATATCCGATGTGTTGCACGATAACCATATATTTTGAGAAGTTGAAGCTGCAAATAAATATCTGTCATGAGATAACGTTCTCCGCGTTGCCGCGGCGTTACAGTAATCATAGAAAACGTAACAACCTCGAGGGATCGCAGCGTTGCAGCGATATAATTTGAGGGGTTTTGTCAGTGTTGCATATATGCATATGCAACACTGACAAAACCCCTCAAATTCCTTTTCGTAGGATTTCAATTCCTTTTGGCGCTGATTCTCCGGAGCATACTCAAAGGCATATCTTGGGTGGCAGATAAAAGACCCAAAGGTCGGGCTACAAGGGCAGCAAAAATTGCAGCTGCGCTAGCCATCATTACCATATTGAGCAAGCATGACCTCTTTGTACACTCGTGCCAAGTTTGAGATTCGAGATATTGATGAAGATGAAGCTCATCATTATTTTTGCTTTGAGCACAGCAGCAGTCGAAGTCGACTCATGTTCTTGTCTATCGTTTAATACATTGGAAGAAAAATACTGTTTTTCGGATTTTGTTTCACATTTGAAGGTTACTTCTAAACATGATCCAAACCCGAAAGAGGGACCTCGTTATTTTCAAGTCACTTACGATGTAGAACATATCCATATCTATAAGAATGCGTCATGTATCAAGGAAATACCAAAAAAGATCTAACAGCGCCAATCAACGATGACAATCTGGTCATCTTTCGGTTCACCCGAGTCCCTTTTGGTCTAAATGTATCGCCATTCTTGCTGGCTGCTACGGTAAATCATCACCTACAAACCACAGCTGACAAGAGGTTAGGCGAAGAAATACACCAAAATTTGTACGTCGATAACCTCATCCTAGGGGCAAATTCAAAAGGCGAGATAGCAAGAAAAGCCAAGAAATCACGTGAAATTTTTTCCCAAATAGGCATGAATTTACGAGAGTTTCTTTCAAATACAAATTCAATACGCGATACTATCCCAGCTGAAGCATGCGCCAAATCTTCCGAACAGAAAATTCTGGGAATCACCTGGAACGCTGAAAAAGATGAACTGAGTATACAATGCAAAATGCTACCGAGTTCAATAGTCACAAAACGGATTGTGGCTAGGCAGATAGCTTCAATTTATGATCCATTCGGGTGGCTGATTCCCCTGATTACTCAGGCAAAACATTTCCAGCAACAACTATGGAAACAGCGCTATTCCTGGGGAAGATCCCAACAAAAGCGATGTGATAGCTGCCGAATGCGCTGCAACATTAGACGAATATTCACCTTTGCCTTCGGAGCATTTGGCGCTACCCTCGTGCTTCTTTCACTTCCTCGTGACAACTTTGGACGAGAGTGGGATGAATCGCCGAAGTCGAGTGAGCTGCAGTCGCAGAGGGCTTCCATCAGCAGAGACGCGGCCATCCGGGCTGCTCGAGCCGGACCGCAGATGTCGTTCCAAAAACAGCCAAACCCTCCGAGTCTCATCCACAAAGACACAGCAGACGATCCTTTTGACTTTCCGGCGTACGTCAATCGAATTGTGCTGAACAAACTGCACAATTTCCTGAATGGAAGGGATCTCGTAGCGATGGCTGCGTCAGAGTGTCACGAGAATACCACATTAGCTGAGTACTGGATGAAAACAAGAGAACATCAACGTGATTGAAAAGAACAAAGAAAAGTATTCTGCCCCTGCGCGCTCGACCGCGGCTTCTTATATCCGATGTGTTGCACGATAACCATATATTTTGAGAAGTTGAAGCTGCAAATAAATATCTGTCATGAGATAACGTTCTCCGCGTTGCCGCGGCGTTACAGTAATCATAGAAAACGTAACAACCTCGAGGGATCGCAGCGTTGCAGCGATATTCCCGGCCGCCTAGGGAAGTGCTCTTCTGAGTTCGTTGATTTCGTGTTCGAGCTCTTCAGCGCGGCGCCTGTGATGCTCCTTCGCATCCCTCGCTCTTTGCAGTCTTTGCATGATGATCGGGCTTTCTTCAGGGAGGCTGCATAGAGCTGAATGATGCCCTGTGCGGTGACAGTGGAAACATGGTTGCCCATATTTCCGACACAGCTTTCCTCCACAGCAGATGATTTCCAGGCACAATTCGCATTTTTTCTTGTCGGCAAGCAGTTGTCGTCTCTCGCGCGCCGTTGCTACTTCCCAACAAGAATCCGAGTAATGTGAGCCAATGGCTTCACAAAAAGCGCAGCGCATATTGCGCTCAATGCTCTTGACTTCGCCTCTGTAGAATGAGCGTGGCCGACAGGTCCGTTCGTTTTCCAACTCTTCTATTACCAAATTCAGATCCAGAATGGCTTGAGCATTACGATCGTACTCCAGTTGCAATCTTCCGATGCGCTCTTCGATGTCCATTGGGACCTCTTCCATGTCCATTCCACCAAGTGGCTCCATGAACTCTTCATTTTCTCGTATTGCTTCTTCTTCTGCAACTCTTTGTTGTTCGTTTTGTTCGTCTTGTCTCACTGGTTCTTGATCCGCAGGCCTCCCCTCCTCGTGTTGCTCCGGCTCCCTTTCGGCTTCGCTGTCAGCTCGGGCGATCTCGTTGTCTTCGTTTGATGACTCACTGGTTGTTGATTTTCTGCGCTCTCGAAAACTTCCTGATTCTTCTTGGTTGTTTTTGAACTTTTCTTGCAAGTCTTTCAGAATTTTTTCCATGTTTTTTATGGCTTGAAGGATTGTTTCTTCTTCTTTTTCTTTTTGCGCTTCTTGTTGATCATTTTGTTGCCAGATCTCTTCGATGAGATGGTGCAGTTTTGTTTTGAAGTTTTCGAGGCAGTTTATCTGGTCTTCGATCATCATTTCGACTTCTTTTTGGTTTACGACAAGTTCCTTTCCGTCTTCGTTTTCATCAGGCCATTCCATCAATGTTTCCCAAATCGCTGGCGTTGTTGTCTTCGTTGCGAACAAAAGTTGCGGTACTGTGTATAATGTGCGCAGTTGAGTGCGAAGCAGTAGGAATTCGATGCGCAGTTTCTCGCACATTAGTTCGTAGTAGTGCAGTTTGTTTTCTTTCTTTTCCAAATTCATCTTGGAATTGCGTACTACATCGATGCTGCTTTGCAGTTCGTCTACTTTTTTCATCGTGTGATCTACGTCGTGACAGTATTTGAAAATGTTATCGCGTAAATCTGCTGGCGCTGGTAGTTTTGGGATAGCATTTCTTAGCGCAAGAAGTTGTTGCTTCAAACTTTGCACGTCTTCTGATTCCATTGCCTGGAAAAGATAGTGAGGGTTATTGTTTGTTTTGTTTTTTTTCTTTTTTTCTTTTTTTTCTTTTTTTTTGGCGCAGGCGCATACGGCATTGATAGGGTTAAAAAGTTTTCTTATGTTTGTAGTCACTTTCGTTTTTATGTTTTTCATAAACTTTACGTGTAACCCAACAGCATATGCGCGCAGGAAAGCATATTATAGTCCGTGCAATTTTCAAAATTAGCAAAAGTATGCGCATTCCTAATGTTTGAAGGCAGAGATACGTAAAAAGTAAAGCGGCTAACACGCATACAAGAGCAACTGCTAACGTTTTGTACCAGCTCAAAACAAGATTGGTTATATGCTTGAAGTCTGGCCATGGAATCTCGTTGTATACTGTGTGATTTCCCTGAAGTTTATTGAATAGGCTTTCTTGGAAGGTACCGGTATATTTCAAAATTCAATTGTTCACTTTCTACTATACGTAGGCAAATAATTCCCTACGTATAGTAGAAAGTGAACATCTGAGCTCTTAGTCAATCGATGTTCTCCTGCCTTTTTGCAAAGATTTTCGACCATGCAAAATATCAAAGGACACCCCAGATAACGTGGAAATTTATGAATATCAATAAATCAGAATCTTGATGTGCAGGACCAAGTATAGTTATTGATTTTAGGATAGCAAATGTTGTCCGAAAGCAAGCACCGTTCCTCAAAATGTACTCTGAATACACGAACAATTACGACAGAGCCACGAAAATTTTTGAGGAATTAAAGAAAAAGAAGAAGTTTGCCGATGTTGTACGCGAGATCGAGGTAGGTTTCGAGAGTAACTGCACGAGTGGCAGAAAAGAAAAAAAGTTGAGCTTCTAGAAGCTTCCTGAATGCGAAGGCCTTCCCCTCAGTCATCATCTGATTTGTCCCGTTCAAAGAGTCATGCGATATCAGTTACTTCTTCAGGTACTGCTACTTACATTTCAACTTCAGCTAAATATGACATACCAGCTTGTTGCGAAAATTCTGTTTGATTTGCAGATTTTCTTTTGGAATGCTACAACTTCTTTTAAAATACTTATCAAAACAACTTTTTTGCTGAATTATGCGAAATTCGGTTATAAAGACAACATAACATATTATATAAAGAAAGCAAGCGAGAAAGAAGGCAAAAAATACAAAGTTTCACGAAGTTTCCTTCGAAGCCATTTCGACCAAATAATGCTTTCACATAAGGAAAAGCGAACACATTTGGTTGACATCACTGACTTATAATCTTATAGTATATTAAAGCTGGTGATTCATGCAGTCTTTGCTGCAATAATAATTTTTATGAGCAAACCAAAAAGTCCGATAAGAACGCTGACCAGCTGAAGGTCTCTGCAGGCTCTTGCTTCACCCCAAATATGCAATTTTATGAAGCATTTTTCTTGAGCTTGGCTGCACTTTGGCGGCATGTAGTTTTTTGAAATTTTGTGACTAAATATTTCCCCAAGCTCTGGTAAACATCAGAAAAAGACTTTGTTTACTGCAGTAGATGAGCCCTTCAGAAATCTGCTGCGTTAAACTCAAGGCAACTCAAAATTGGACAGAATTTTCGAAAGAATCTAGTACCTACAAAAATCAAAACTATGTTATTTTATGTTCAAAACTTTGCAGGAGTATAAAAAGCAACTAAACGAGTCTGATGCTGATTATGAAGACACGGCTGCTGCTCTCGAATTAGTTCTCCAAGCTGCTTCCCATGCAAATGAGATGATGAAGAAATTGGTGAGTTTTGAAAAATGGAAAAAAACCGCATCTTGAAAAAGATTGACAAGCCTGAATCTCATTGATAGTATAGATATCATGAGATATCATGACACTTACTGAACATAATACAAGCCTTTTTCACAGGCATCAAAAATGATGACCTTTTCTCCAAAAAAGCTTCAAATCTTGCAATATTATGAAGTAGAGTTTTTGAGGCTATGGTTATCGTGTTTACATACGTCGTTTGCAATCAGTCGATTTTTTGCTTGATTGACTTCTTGATGAAAAATTCGGCACCCACGGACATTGAACTGTACCTACATCTTTCTAGATCGAAAGGGAGTTTTCGATGATTTTAAGAATTTTGAGAATTATTAGAACCTTGAAATAACTAAACTAATTAAAATTACAATAACTGGCTTTAACTTAGCTTTATTAAAGCTATTGAATCTTTAGTTTGATAATTTGAATAATATTCACATAATTAGAAGGAAAATTCTCTACCTTCAATCTTTATATATGTTCTAGGATGGATTTGGCAAAGTCATCGAAGTTCAAGAGCAGCTCGGAAACTCGATATCACTTGTTTCCCCGGGAAGAGAGCTTTTGAAGACAGGAACCCTTCAGGTATGTTGGTCCCAACACTCTCGTTTAAATCATTATGGAAGGCTCTCGAAGTGGAGAATTTCGTATAGTTGCGGAAAATTCCCAAACGCTCAAAAAACGGCGGAAATAATATGTATAATAGTTAGAACCGAAATTTTTTTGAATATTCGTATTCGAATGATTTATCCGAAACAGAAAAGTCGAATAATCAGGAAAGTGCATTTATTTGGTCATTCAAATAGTTGAATAATTGAAAACGACCTTTATTCAAATATCTGTTTATTGGACGAATGAGAAAACAACGTATTTGAAATTTTATTATATGTTTTATTATATTTCATTTACTCTACTATTCGATAATCAAATACTTGCACTTACCTGAATATTCGACTTTTATAGTTTGAATGAATCATTTGAATGCGAATATTCGAAAAATATTCGGTTCTATAAAATATGCATATCGCATAGGCTGTTTTTTGCAATGAAGATTTTGTCTGTCTAGAAAATCTCGTCCACTACTGAAAAGACCGAGGAAAGAACGATCTTTTTGTTCAACGACTTGGTTCTTCTCGCTTGTGAGAGGAAGATGATTGGTCTTTACAAGTACCGTCTACGAGCAGTGTTCCACGCCTGTCACACACAGGCAAGCACTTTTCTATTCACCCTATCCGGGCACGAGAAATGCAAACGTTTTGAAGATTTGCGAGGGAGACAACCTTGAACGGGAGCATTCCTTTTACATAAGAGGATCAGATGGAAATGGACCTTCGCGATGTGTGGAATTGTATACTGGTGAGATCATATTACTTGTGAGCGCAGCGCTAAAAAGAAGGAAAATTTAGATACCCAAAAAGAAAAAAATGACTGGGTTGAGAGTATATGCTCTGTCATAGAGGACTGTCGAGCCAATTCGGCTACATTTGCTGGAAAAGTCGTGGGTTTATTTTTACGTCCAGTGCGTATACTATGAATAGATTTCCTTTCAGAGGACCGCTTTGAGCGAGACAAATAACAATCACAGTGAAAGCCGCAACTGTGCCGATTGCGATACAGAGTTTAGGTGAGCCAAAACTACGGACAAGGACTTACAGCTCGTTCACCAATCCTATACTAACATCTAGACAGCATAGATGTGACCAATCCCTCTATCTGTCCTAAAGCGGATGAGGAAACCAAATTTTTCTTTTAGTACTTGTTTCAGCCTCTTCTACCGTGGAATCAAATGTGGGAAGTGCAAGCGAAAGCTGTGCAAGAAATGCTTTGGACGGTATCGGTCGGAAAGCAAACACAATCGAGTGTGCGAGTCCTGCGTAAAGAATATGGTACGATTTTCGACATAATCTAAAAAAGTATTCAAAGAAGATAGGATTTTTCAAAACAATTGTTGAGATGCACAATGCCCAAGGAGTACTTGTTCATTCCATCAACCGCATTTTATATTTTTAGGGAATCGACTCCATTCGACGTTCAGCATCCAATCAGTCGAACGTTCGACAAAATGTACTAGCTGTCCCTGCCAAAGGAAAGGGCGTCTTGCACGCTAGTAAAGTCAAGGTTAGTAAGCTTTCAACAAATCTTTATGAATGTTTCAAAAACCCCTGCTGAAAATCTCACAAAATGCATGTACAGTACTGTGAAGCAAAGGAAAGTCTAACTGTATCGTAATGCACCTTCTCTCGCTCATTTAATGACAGGAGAATTTATTTCGGAAGAATGTATCTTTTGATGATCAGCAGAGAAAATTGAGTAGGAAATATAGAGATTTAAAACCACTTGTCTAAATGAAGATAGAATTGATAGGGCACATGTGGAGGCTGTGAAACTACAAGTTGCATTATGACGAACACGCAAGGTAAGAAAAAGTTTTGTGAAATGGGGCAGTTTGGATCAAAAGAAAACTCAGTGAGAGTCCTCTTCCAGAGCAAGCGTTATGCGCTCTGCTATTTTGACGGGAAGGAGGGGGGGGGGGGGGAAGGAGTTCGTACATAATTGTGCAACGGCGGGTCCTTATCTTTGAATTATCATAGTAAACTTGAATATCAAATGAATAGGGAAGGGCAGGTGAGAATATTACATTTGATTTGGTGAGTGAAGGTTCAAATAAAAATCTGTGAGAATCCAAAGATAATACTTACAATTAGCTCTGTTTATTTAACTCAAAATTTGTTTGAAGAGAGGTGCAAGTGCGAAAAAGAACAAGCTTTAGGGTCAGAATATAATTCACAATATAATTCACATATGAAATGCGTAAAACACCGAGTATAATTTAAATATTATGGCACTAAAAATCCCAATTTCAGTTCCGCGGATCGCTGGGAAAAACATTTGAGCGATACTTCGTTGTTCGCAACGATTTCTGCTTATACTCATATAATTCAAGCGATGTATGTTTTCCTAGCAACCTTCATCTGACTTAAGGAGATCACGTTTTTATTGCAGGATGATTGTGCACTGGCAATGTTGCCGTTGCCTGGTTGTGAAGTGAAGCTTTGTGGTGAACGATTTACGTTCTCGCTTCGCGTTGGATCTCGTAGGATGTACACGGTGACCGTGGACGACGAGCAGAATCAGCTGAGATGGATGGCCGTGCTGGATCTCGCTGCTAATGCACAACTTCAGCAAAGCCCCGAATAGTCAAATCCAAACTTAAATTATCGTTTATGAATTCTCCTTTGCTAAAAGTTCCAGTGGTCAAGCCATTTGTTGGGATGTGCGTCGCATTTGGCTACATGTTCTTTCTGAGCTGCACCACATCTTGTTCCTCTAAGTCTACCTTCTAAGCCATGAAACACTTGAATACGACGGTTACTGGCGATTGAGAAGCTTGAGCTCAATGCATAGTTGCGACTCATGTATAGTGTTATAATCAGTGTGCAATGATCCCCTCTGCTCCGTTTCTAGTCATCCCCATCTCTATGTTTATCCCAAATGTGTCGTTCGTGTTGAGCACATTCAAATGCAAAGCAGTCAGAATCTCTTCATCTCACTTATTGGCACCGCTAGGCCTTCGATTTCTTTATTGAAATTATATTCCATCGCCTCCTCATCCGTCTCGCTCGAAGCTGTACAAATCATCATGGTGTATATAATATCGTCAGTATAGATTATTTACACTGATATAAAGGGTCGACATGTTTTGCTATGTGCATTCTTTCGAAAAACAGAGTTTTCAGATTGCTACAGCGGAAGTAAAGAATATATATTAACTAGTGAACCAATAATCAAAGGTGCTAGACCGCATTCGCGCGCTTCGAGACCGCACCGCTTTCCCGCTATGTGATGTTGTTTAAATTGGCACTATGACTCTTTACATAGTAGATTCGCAGTATATACAATTGAAAATCTGCACTCTCAAGAAAATGCAGAGTAGAATGCGAACCTATAGATGGAGACAAATAATTGTCACCAATGTTCTTTATTGGGTGTGGGTCCATTGAAAAGCAACCGCGGATGCAGCACGCAAACAATTTTAATTGACATTGCAAAAGTATCCTATACAATGAACATTACTGAGTCTATACAGTGATATATAGGCTGTCCCAAAAATGAGAACACTGTTTGAACGTTGATAACTCTTTTGCTTTCACGTCTTTTGCCGAGCTTGAGGTATCATTTTATAAAGCGATTTCCACCTTAGACCTTCAGTATAGAGCGAATCATTAATCGCTTATCATTAGTGTAGGATTACGGTATAAACTTTCAGCAACGCCACTGTGGAATGGATCTTTTGATGGAAAAAAAATTCCAAAAAATCTGGAATTTGCATAGCAAGGGTTATTCGTACTGATTTCACTGCACAACTTTTCACCAGTTTTTTTGAGCTTCTTCAATGTTGCACACTTCTAACGGACGCTGGAAAAACAGATGTTACCCTAAAGCTGAAATAACGCGAAAAAAGCACTACATTAAGGGCAAATTTTATAATTGGAATCAGCGACTTCGGCTGCTCAGTACAAGAGTTTCTGATTCGTTTGGTTTTCTTTCTGAAGCAAAAGTTGTTTTCACTTTCTTAACATCCTTCTCAAAGGTTTATACCGTTATCGTACAATGAAGAGTGAATGACGATTTGGTCCAAAACGTGAATCTATGTTGAACCTCGCTCTACAGAACGAAGTTTCAAACTCGCGAAAGACATGGAACCAAGAGAGTTATTAACATTAAATAGTGTTGACGAAAGTTGTTGGTTAGTCAGTAAAAGTAAATCATTGCTCTTGCTAGGCATAATGACTTTCAGTCATTTTTTGTTTCATCCAAACAAGACCTGTAGCGTTAGGCTGCCCGAAAATCAATGACCGTTCCTTATCGATCGCGGCAGAGTAAATGTAAGAATGTAGGAAACATATCCTTCGATAGAGGAAAGCAAGCCTTACAAGATTTGCATAATTGCAAAAATTTCATTGACGTGATGTTTGAAAGCAAAAAGTGAAAAATTTCAAATACTCGAAAATCAGTTTTTGTCCAAGAAGATTCGGGAATTCCTAACTTGGTCACGCATAAACTTCCCATATCAAATTACAGTATACTTGCTGCAATGTAATGATGTATTGCTCTAGACTCATTCGTAATGGACCTGGAGCAATGCATCGTTAAGTTTCGTGTTCTCACTGGATCGAGAGCAAAGATTAAAAGTAGCGATAATAAATGAAATAAGGTATTGTGAGCAACAGCATGCCAAATGCTAGAATTGAACGCATCAAGTTACAGACTGTTGACTTTCTTTCGCACACTTCCTCAAGCTCACGAAAGCTATGGTTCTACAATGCGAAATTAGAGTTAATCGGCGAGGCTACTTCTGTCCACTCGACAATCCCTAATAGCGCGAAGATTGAACTCAAATAGCTTTTGTGTAATGCATCTTGATCCTTTCTCTCTAATGATCTCATAAGTATTGGGTTGTAACATAAGTCCTGTTATATTTCAACTCCTTACGGCAATAAGGCGCACACTTCATATTTCCAGTAGAACTCCAAGAAACCATTCGATAGAGCAAAGCAGTCTCTACAAAATGGTGTGCAAAAATTTGCACCAGCTTGAATCCACCTTAAGTTTGTATCCAGAATCTAAGTCGTACTAAAATCTCAGAAAATTGAAAAATCTTAGAAGAAAAATCTTAGAAGTACACTCGTAAATTCTCAGCTTTCCACAGATTTTAGTTCGCGAAAATTACCGAATTTAGCTCACCTCCTCAAGAGTTCTATGAGAAAATCAATATTTTTGGAAGACTACGGCTTGATGAGAATTGGAAATTTACGCTCTTATACTTCTGTGGCCGTGTAGTATACAGTTATTAGGTTGGTAAGAAAGTTCTCGGACATTTTCAGAAAAGATCTGCTATTTCTCGAAACCTAACGCATATACATCAGATAGAGGTACCATTCGATAGAGCAAAGCAAGCTCTACAAGATGGTATGCAAAGTTCGCACCAGCTTCGACCCACCGTAAGTTTTCGCCCAAAATCTGAGTCGTACTGAAATTCAAAAAATCGCGAAAAATTCATATCTTTGTTCCAACAAATGCTCCGGATCTCCAACTTGCATACAAAAATTGCGGACCACATCAGACACTCATATGCACCGTTCCTGTATTTTTTCTTCATCTGGAAATCAAGAAAACGAAAATTTTCTTGCTTGTATAAAAACGAAGCTGTGCTGATTCCACCGACGTAATTGAATAGTTCAAGCCTTTAAAAGTATAACTATAAATTTTCAGCTTTCCGTAAGTCCTAGTTGTCGAAAATTGATTTTAGCATGGAACGCCCGAGTGAGGAGCGCTTAAATCGCTAATTTTCGGGAACGAGGGCCTATAGAAAGCTGAAAATTTACGGTTATACTTCTGAGGGCTTGTACTATTCAAATACATGGATGGAAACAGCACAGCTTCGTTTTTACATAAGCATGAAAATTTTCGTTTTTTCGATTTCTAGATAGGGAAAAATTACAGGAACGGTGCATATGAGTGTCTGATGTGGTGTGCAATTTTTGTAGACAAGTTAGAGATCCAGAGGATTTGTTTGAACAAAGATATGAATTTTTCGCAATTTTTTGAATTTTGGTACGACTCAGATTTTGGGTGCAAACATACGATGGGTCGAAGCTGATGTGAACTTTTGCATACCATCTTCTAGAGCTTGCTCTGCTCTATCGATTGGTACGTCATTCTGATGTATATGCGTTAGGTTTCGAGAAATAGCAGATCTTTTCTGAAAATGTCCGAGAACTTTCTTACCAACCTAATACATACAGTCACTGTCAATTATGTACTCTCTTCCGCATGGAAACTGCGCATGCGCAGCGCAAGGGCCCTGCGTGCGGACCTTCAATAGATAAGGCTCACTTGATTGCCCGAGGCACGCGCACGGACGTGACGCGAAGCTCATTGCGTTCGCAAAAAAGGGAGCACGTGATCGACACGGAGTGTAAGTAGAAAGCTACGTTTTTGTGAAAGTGTAAAAAATTTCATTTTTTTCTATTTCTATACGAGAAAAGATACAGGAACGGTACATATGAGTGTTGATGTGGTGTGCAATCCAGAACTCGGCATAAGGTGGCTTTTTCAATTTTTCAAAAACGAAGCCCTCGTAGACTTCGCCACAAGAATATGACATCACCTATGACGTGAACATGAATGGATAAGAAAGAATAACGAGAAATTATGGAATAAAACATAAAGAAAACATTGAACAGACGGAAAAGAATTGAAAATGTTTGTGTCCTCCGAAATGGTGGCATGCTGTGTCCGGCGCGCACCCCTGCGCGCTTGGAACACGCTTGCCGCCGCCATACAAAATATTTTGCCGGCTGTAACTAAGCGGGGAAGAGGGAATTTAAGGATATTCAAAAACTGTTTGTAGGGTTCTTAATGTAGAACAAAGTTATGTCAAACATGTAAAAAAAATTATGTGAAGGAAGGGAAATTCATGACTTTTTCTTTTTACAGCCACCTCAAATGGCTGTCCAGGTGGCTGGAAAGCCACCTAACTCCGAAAAAAGTTTGCCACATCTTCAATTCACATAATTTTTTCATAATTTTTTGCACATAGTCCTCCCTATTGCTCATCTACACAACCATTTTGGTGTCATTTCATTTTCCCTTTGCTGTAAACAAAGTCTTTTGTTACTTTCGGGGCAACTTTGAATTCGCGCGCTTACCCGACGAGCCTGCTGAAACAGAAAATTTCTGGTTTTTGCAGGAATGGGATCAATAAGGCAGGAATGACAATCTGCGCCTTCTATAGAAGATGAAATGTGACCTAAAGGAAGAAGGCGATTAGTATGTGTGTGTGTGTGGGGGGGGGGGGGTTCCGCTTAAACGATATCCCCCTTTCTTTTTATTCCAAACGATATCTAGCTTGCCTTAAGCCACTTGTGTCGAGCCCTGGTGCAGTCTGTTTGAGCAGGTTGGAAAGCTGTAGAAATTTTTGCCTAGAGATAGGAATAATTTCTGAGCCTTCAATGCGACTCAGATTTTGGATGCAAACCTACGGTGGGTCGAAGCTGGTGCGATCTTTTGCGAACACCGTCTTGTAGAGCATGCTTTGCTCTATCGAATAATTCCTTGGAAGTTAACTGAAAATATGAAGTGTACGACTTATCGCCGTAAGAAAGTAAAGTGTAACATGACTTATGCTGCAACTCAATACTGTATGTTGTGGTTGATTGTGGTCAGTCGTTTCGATGCATCTGCTATCGCCGTAGTCAACAAGACTTACTGTGCGCTGAAAATTGAAAGCTATATAAGGCGCTGGATCTTACTTAGCTAGAGCAAGTCTTATGCAGTTGCCTCGCTCTCCGCTTAATGTTTTATCATCTTTTCCCTTTCCAAAGAATTTTTATTCTCTGCTTCTTGTGTTCCAGAGAAAGAAGAGCTCGAGTGCTCTTCGAGAAAAGCGAGGACACCAAACTTGCAGTTAGGATCAGCGACCGCTAACAAAGATATAGTATGAAATGAAAGAAGTCCTCTGCAGTCGCTTAGAAGTAATGACCGCAGAGAGCATTCGAATGAAATCTCGCTCAGCAGAGATGGTCGATAGACACGGCAAAAATTGTCTCAAAAATATTTTGATCATGTTGAAGAAACTGATCTCTGAAAAGCAATGAAGCTATATAAGCGGTTGTTCCGAACACGAAGTTTGCTCACT